TCCCCGATAACGACATTAAGGTTTGGTGTGGTACAGTGACTTGCCCACAGTCCCACAGACCATGAGTGACAGGGCCAAGCCAGTCTTCCATGCACAGCTCCAGTCGACAACCCCAGCAGCTGGGCTGTTACACGAGGTGTCACAGATGCTGTGTTCATTGGCAGCCCTTAGCACACACGGGGAGGGCATTTCTATGTTCTGAGTGTGGGGCACCTGCACATCGGGCAGCTGGCCTGGGGAGAGGAGCACCAAGAGTGGCGAGTCAGGCATGCCAGGGAGAGGGCGCCTGGCGGGACTTGGACAGGGGTTTCTAGCCATTACTGAGGAAGTTGTCACGGAAACGACAGGAATGAGCTGTCAAGTGCATGCTTCCAGGGTCACTGGAAGACATCCCATCGACCTGTGACTTGTTCCAAGGCTCTCTGGCATTTTGGGTGGGAATAGAAGGTGGGGGCTCCGAGGTCCCTGGGCTGAGGGCTTGAGTGGCTCTGGCTTTGTGTCTTCTCAGAGCTCTCGGAGCAGATTCAGAGGGCCCTGCAGCTGGAGGAGGAGAGGAGACGGGCACAGGAGGAGGCCGAGCGCCTAGAGGCTGACCGCATGGCTGCACTGCGGGCTAAGGAAGAGCTGGAGAGACAGGCGGTGGATCAGATAAAGAGCCAGGAGCAGCTGGTAGGAATCGCCTGAGTTTCAAGATGCTGAATTATAGAGAGGATGCTTCTGAGGATGGAAAATGTGACACCTGCCTTGTAATAATTGTCATGACTGGAAGCTGATCTGGGGGCTGAAGCAGCTGACGGGGAAGGGGCTGGGCTGTTGCCAGGGTCACCCATAGAAGGTGGGTGTGGGCATCCAGGAAGAGACTGCAGGGGTGCACGATGGACCCTGCTGGCCATGGGTAGAAGGGACTCAGGTGTCACAGTGGAGGCTGCTCATTCACAACCAGACTGTCAAAAGGGTTCCAGAACTCACTTGAGCTTGACGTTCCCTTCCCAGGCTGCGGAGCTTGCGGAGTACACTGCCAAGATCGCCCTCCTGGAAGAGGCACGGAGGCGCAAGGAGGATGAGGTTGAAGAGTGGCAGCACAGGGTGAGTCTGCAGGGGAACCGCCGCACGCCCACAGCATGTGTTGCCCACTGGCTGTGGTGGGGCCCTTCTGCAGGTGGGGTGGGGGGTGGTGGTTTGGCTCAGCAGCCAGGTCCCACTGGAAGCTTCTGGGATGTCTCAGGATCCTCTGCTGATAACAGCTGTACTGTTGAAGTAGAAATCCCCAAAGAGATGGGTCTGAGCTTATAACACAAGTCAGCGCAGCTGCTGGATTCGTGGAGGGAGGGAGGGAGGACTTCTTTCACCCACTTTGTTCCCCCGACCCTGACTGTTCAGTGCCGATCTGACAGCCTGGTCAGGAACTGGTTTTAAATCACGTTACATATGTGCCCCTTGCAATGGGGTTGCAGTGCCAGAAACATCTGCTGGTAGTGTATACAGTGGGCACCATGGGAAGATCCAGGTCCTTGGAAGTCTCCAGGCTGGAGCGAGAGCCAGGCTCTGCCACTCATCAGCTTGTGTGACTGGGGGCTAGCAGTGTCACCTCTCTGAGCCTCATTTTCCTCATTGTAGAATGGGAGCAGTAGCCAACTCATAAGGTTGCTCTGCAGATGCAAGGTCCCAGGACCTAGCACGGACACTCTGGCCCATCCTTCCCTCTCTGGTGCTGCCTTCTGAGGACTTGCCTCCCTGCCGTCCACGGCTGCTTCTCCCTAGCATCTCCTTGCCTCTGTTCAGCCTATTCCTGCTGCCAGTCTGTATTGTTCTGTTCTCACCTGGCTATAAAGAACTACCTGAGAGCCAGTAATTTATACAGTCTCTCATGGCTGGGGAGGCCTCAGGAAGTTTATAGTCATGGCAGAAGGGGAAGGGGAAGCAGGCATGTCTTACATGGGGGCAGGAAAGAGAAAAGCAAAGGGGGCGGGGCCAAACACTTTGAAACCATCGGCTCTCACCCAGAACCCACCCACTAGCATGAGAACAGCAGAGGGACAACCACCCCATGATCCAGTCACCTCCCACCAGGTTCCCGCTTCAAAATGTGCAGATTACAGTGGGAGATGAGATTTGGGTGGGTACACAGCCATATCACCATCCCAAGTAGGAAGCAGAAGACTTTGGCTTCTTAGGTTTTTGGAAAAAGTACCTGTTAAGTGAGGAGAGCTGGCTACAGAGCAGCTCCACACCAAGCTCGACTCCAGGGCTGGGATAGAGGTGGGACGGACTGGGCGTGTGTGCAGATGGTGAGCAGGAGAGCACTTGAAGACAAGTGTGGCACAAGGGGAGGCTAGGAACAGCCCGTTACTCATTCAGACTGCCAGAGGATTTTTTTTTTTTTTAATTATATACTGTCTAGAGTTATAGACAGAAAAAAATGCTAGTTTGAAAACTGCCCAGGCTCTGGCATCGCAGTTCCCCTTCCTGTCTTGGACGCGACGCAGAGGGTTGTAAGCCCCACATGTACCCTGAGGGGGCTCCTCTGCAAAGCCCTGGCCCACCCCATTCAGTGCTGCCTTTGCCTGCCGGGACAGAGGGAGGCAACATTCTTTTCTCATAGCCAGGAGGATGGGACCTCTGAGTGGAAGTCCTCACCTATTTATTTGTTTTCCAAAGGCCAAAGAAGCCCAGGATGACCTGGTGAAGACCAAGGAGGAGCTGCACCTAGTGATGACGGCACCCCCGCCCCCACCACCCCCTGTGTACGAGCCAGTGAGCTACCATGTCCAGGAGAGTTTGCAGGATGAGGGCGCGGAGCCCACTGGCTACAGTGCGGAGCTGTCTAGTGAAGGCATCCGGGATGACCGCAACGAGGAGAAGCGTATCACCGAAGCGGAGAAGAATGAGCGCGTGCAGCGGCAGCTGCTGGTGAGGCCCAAGGGGCTCTGTGTCTCCAGGGGGCCTGCTTCCCTCTTGCAGCAGATAGGCTTGGGGAGAGCAGTGATGGGAGTCAGCCCCACCCAGCACCCCCCTTGCCCTTCCCACTTTCCTAAGGGAGGGGCCAGGCCAAATGGGGAGGAAGGGACCTAGCATTGCTTCTTAATGTTGCAGACGCTGAGCAGCGAGCTGTCCCAGGCCCGAGATGAGAATAAGAGGACCCACAATGACATCATCCACAATGAGAACATGAGGCAAGGCCGGGACAAGTACAAGACGCTGCGGCAGATCCGGCAGGGCAACACCAAGCAGCGCATTGACGAGTTCGAGGCCATGTAGTGGCCAGGCCAGGACGGAGGGCAGAGGGGCGCTGCTGTCAGCGCTGCCAGCCTCGTCACGCTTGTGTCTTTAGTGCTCCAAGTCTAGGAACTCCCTCATCAGATCTCAGTTCCTTTAAAAAGCGTTATCCAACAGAAACATTCTGGGCTGGGAACCAGGGAGGCGCCCTGGTTGGTTTTCCCCAGTTGTATCATAGTGCCAAGCAGGCCTGATTCTCGAGATTATTTTCAAATCACCTCCTGTGTTGTGCTGAGAGCAGGACTGATTGAATTACGGAAAATGCCTGTAAAGTCTGAGTAAGAAACTTCATGCTGGCCTGTGTGATACAAGATTCTGTATCACTAAAGGAAACCGCGGCATGGCTTCCATCTGTGCCATACTTCCTCTGCATTTGAAACGAGCTCAAATTGGGTTTTAATTTCTATGAAGGATCTATCTTTGTATATTTACGTGCTTTGAGGGGTGAAAATTATTTTGGAAATGAGACAAGCACTCGCACACACAATGATTCCCTCCTCCTGTCACTCCACAAGCTGGCAGAAATCACAGTGGTCACCAGCATGAGCGGTGGAGGAGGACACTTGGATAAATTTTTAGTTTTGTTGGTTTTTTGCTTAACAGTTAGAAAACTACATTGTTGTACTTATACACCTGACTGATCAGCTATATAGTATTTATATACAAGTGATAATACAGATTTGTAACATTAGTTTTAAAAAGGGAAAGTTTTGTTCTGTATATTTTGTTACCTTTTACAGAATAAGAATTACGTATGGAAAACCCTCTAACCATGGCACTTGGTGTGATGTGGCAGGGCAGTCCTAAGTCACCTGCCTGCTGCAGTCACTTGTAAACAGGATTTTTATTGTTAGTGTTTTATGCATGTAACGGACTATGCACACTTTTAATTTTGTCAAATACACACATGCCACTATGACCATTTAGACTCCAGCCATGAGACTGTTCGCTCACGTGTGTCTGTTTCCATCTCTGCCATGGCCTTGGCAGGCTGTGGGGAAGGCAGCTTTGGAAGGTCGTTGCTTCTGCCCACTCTTCATTCCTTCTTGTGTACTGCTTTCTCCTTTGCAGTTAAGACGCCATGAGCAGGTGGATTCCACGCTGCAGGCATGAAATAAAAGCTTTGCAAAGGCATGAAGCAGCATGGGTGTATGCTTGTGTGGGGTGGGAGGGCCACCGCCGACCCGCCTGGGCTGTATGCGCTGTTCACAGGCCAGGTTTTGCAAGGGACTTTGGTGTCCCTGGGGATACACTGGTCAGTTAGAGCTGACCAATACAAGGCCTGAATTCTTACCTGGTGCTCCCCGAGTCACCTAACCTCTGGAAATGTTTTCCGCAGGAGAGAAGAATGGCTCCAACACTCACCAGACTCCTCTGAAATGTTCCCCGTAGCAAAGCTGACTTTTCTTGGAGGCGGAGTCTCCCTCCAGCCCTGGCTGGATCGCAGTTGTGCAGTCACTCAGGGCTTACTGTAGCCTCCTACATCCTGGGCTCAAGCAGTCTTCCTGCCTCTGTCTCCTGAGTAACTGGGACTACAGGTGTGTACCACCACACCTGGCTAATTTTTTTTTTTAGGTGGAGGGGAGAGGGTATCTATGTCACCTGGGCTGATCTCACACTCGTGAGCTCAAGCCATCCACTGCAGCCCCTCAAAGTTGCTGGGGTTACGGGGGGGAGCCACCATGCCCGGCCTGACTTTGACCATTTAAGCACTGGAGGACACAGGTAACAACGTTGAAATCTGGCCATGTTCCACATCTCAAAGAGGAGATAACGCACCAGAGGCTTAGGTAACACAATTGCTGTATTTAAGTACCCGGAGATACCCATAGGCGTTGAAGCCACAGGCAGGACTGCAGATGGAGACTGCTCAAGGTTTAAAGAGTCTCCAGCTGGGGCCCCACTCTGGGGGCGCAGTGTTTCACACCTGCTGCAACCTGGAACCTTGTGGCTTTCGTGTCAGTGCAGGATGAGGGTCATGTCTGTCCACAGATTGGGGCTGGAAAGGACTTTCTGCCATTGGAGCTTCAATTGTGAGCACGCGTCCCCGCTACCAGCTGCGTCTCCCTCTGTAAGGAAGACAAGTTAGCTAAGGTCAGGAAGGACATCACTTCATCCCTTCTCAGCTCATTAAAAATGACCAGCCAGAAGTTTTTCACCTCAAGTCATTAAAAGTCCAACTACTGAGGACACAGACACCTCTACCAGGACCCACCCCCCAACAAAGCTGGTGTTGAGACGGATTTGCCCAGGCATCCCCTGCTCTGCGGTGCTCTAACAGCCTGGAGCTCTGGTTTGATGCGCTGGGTCTTCACCAAGGGAGTGAATAGTCGCACACCAGCATGGCTGGCTGGGTGGGGCTGTCTGAGATTCAGGGCCAGACTTGCCCATGGAGAGGGATTCTTAAAGGAAGACTATGCTTTGGACAAAATCTCTGAAAAGTAATTTAACAGTGAGGCATCTCTCCAGTCGCTGGCTCTCAGTTGGAGGTCCTTGGAGATGTGTGCAGGTGTTTTTGGTTGTCACCACGTCGGGGACATGGCTGGCAGCTAGAAGCAGATCCAAGCACAGAGCTTCACAGCAGAGGGCTGTCCAGCCTGCATGCCAGCGGCGCCCTGCTGAGGCGGCTCTGCACAGCATTGCTGTTTTGACCTCTTGATGAAGTACTTTCTGAATTGCCATTTGTTTGAGTTAAGAAGCTATTTTCCTTTAAGCAAATAATCCTTTTATGATTGACGCCAGAAACAAAAGCAAATACTGTACCTAGCCCATTTGGAGGCCTATATTTTTTGTTGCTTTAGCAGATCTAAATCTGATTTAAATTGTCAAAATACTTGGCTGCATTATGGCTCAGCTGTAGAGTAAAAACTAAGGAATTTCCATTTAAGGCAGGTTAGGCAATTTCAAAACCAGTTAAGTCACTACCCTGGTTTTCATGGTACCCATTAGGATAATCACAAAGGATAAACAATGTTTGGGCCCAATAGCTCAGACTTACTTGAACCAAGTCTGGCTCCCCCAAGCAAGCGGTCGTTCATTCCAAGGAGAGCCTGGTCCCAAACGGTTAACTCCAGGCTTGACTGCCTCAGCTGAGCTGGGGTTACGCCACTGAAGACAAAGGAGTGTTTCCACTGGGGGCAAGCCTGCTTCTTCAGGACTGGCGACCTCAGTCTCAGTTTTTGTTGGTCTGGCAGAGTGAGACATCTGAAGAAGGGATACAAACTGCAATCACTGCTGTGCGCGTGGCCACCTCTCCCAAGGCTGGAGCATCAGCGCAGACGAGAAGCGCTCAGGAGAGTGCCACGTCAGCCAGGCGCAGTGGCTCACGCCTGTAATCCCGGCACTTTGGGAGGCCGAGGTGGGTGGATCACACGGTTAGGAGTTGAAGACCAGCCTGTCCAACACAGTGAAACCCTGTCCCTACTAAAAATACAAAAATTAGCTGGGTGTGGTGACAGAAGCCTGTAATCCCAGCTACTCGGGAAGCTGAAGCAGGAGAATCACTTGAACATGAAAGGTGGAGGTTGCAGTGAGCCAAGATTGCACCATTACACTTCAGTCTAGGCTACAGAGCGAAACTGTCTCAAAAAAAAAAAAAAAAAAAAAAAAAAATGCCAAGTCCACAACACCCACACCCTGCAGAGGCAGGATGGGAACTGCGGGTCTCGGCACATTTCCCTTAGAGCTGAATTCTGCATCAGGTATGAAGGGTGAGTTGTGTGCAGAGGCCTCGTGGCCCTCATCTTAATCTTTTCTCCTTGGGGTGCCTACCGCCATGACTCCAGATACACGTTACCTCCTTTTGACCCTGTTCTCAGGAAAATAAACTCAGAAAAGCTTGTCCAAGGCCATGCAGATAAGCAACAAGATTAGGACACAAACTCAGCTCTCTTTTGTCATAGGCTAGAATGCAGTGGTGCGATCTCGGCTCACTGCAACCTCCGCCCCCCCAGGTTCAAGGGAGTCTCCTGCCTCAGCTTCCTGAGCAGCTGGGATTATAGGTGCCCACTACTACACCTGGCTAATTTTTGTATTTTAAGTAGAGATGGGGTTTGGCCATGTTGGCCAGGCCAGTCTTGAACTCCTGACCTCAGGTGATCTGCCTGCCTTGGCCTCCCAAAGTGCTGGGATTACAGGTGTGAGTCACTGCGACCAGCCTCAGTTCTATCTTAACCATCATTTTTCCCTTATGTCACTGACAGGGAGTCTGCAATTCAATGTAATAATGAATGGTATTTGCCTTGCTTTTAGAGGGCCCAGTGCACCTACTGTGAATGAAAATGAAATGTGGAGGGTCATGCATTTTACTGTTGGTCCAAGAGGAAATGTTAAGCTAGGGAAATAGTTACTGAACACACTACTTTTTCATGCTTGATTTCCAAACTGGCTTGCCAGTATCACAAGAACTGATAAGATTAGGGTTTCAGGCACCCCAGCACATACACATCCCACGACTTTTCAGAAACCAGGGTCTTTAATACTATGTGTTACATTAGATTTTCATAGGAATGCTAAAATAAGCTGTTTTAAGTGGCTTACATTTTTTGGTGTTCCCTGCAGGTTCTGGGCCGTGTCCTTACGTATACTAGGTCATCAGTAAATCATTTTTGATTACATTGAATACCTACCCCTTAACAAATGAGTTCAAGGTGCCATCTGGCCGCACAGGTAAATTCTTGGCTCCCAGCACTACCAAGCAAAGTTGACCATTAAGAGACAGCTGCTCTGTCCCTGGAAGGAAAGCCATTTTTCCCGATATGTTAGAATGCAGTACCACCACCCAAAACTGAGAGCTCAGCAAGAGAATCTGCTACAGCCCTCAGACCCCAAGACAGCAGACAGGAGTGGTGCAGTGGGCTCTGCTGGCCCTGCCCACAGGCTGTGGTGCTGTGTGGTCAGGAGGAGGACAGGATGGAGGGATTGCTAACATCCTAGCAAAGAGTAAAGAGGTACCCAAGGACAAGAAAGATGCTGACGTTCGAGTCTAGTTGTAGCCAGCAGTTTGGGGGAAAGTGAGAGCCCGAGACCCTGTCCAGGGGGTGGGATGGCCAGGGGACACTTGCTGGTCTGCTGATGACCCTGTGAGCTTGGGTTGCAGAATTTCCCCTTCTAGCCAAATAGAAAGTCACTGAAATACACAACGGAACTGTGCATTCTCCCTGTCCTCCTTCCCCACCCTCCTGCTTTCCACATTATCGAAGGAGTAAAATCTCCTTAGGGCCCCTGAGGATCTGCCTTCCTGACCTACTTCTCTTGCTGGGCAGCAGCTGCCCATGTGCCTGGGGGCAGGGATGCTCCTCTGAGCCCTGCAGGTACCAGTGCCTCGAAATGTGCTCTTGGCTCCACGTTGTCATGGAGCCTCTGCTCTTCAGGAGGGGCCACGGTTTCCCCAGAGACGGTGCAATCAGCCCCTGGGAGGAATGCCTAGAGCAGTGTCAGAGCAGCATAGAGTGGGCATCAGAGGCCTCGTCTGCTTCTAGTCACCCTCTTCCCCCTAGGCTACGGGCTCCAGAGAACTTCCAGGCTCACTGCATCGCTCAGTAAGAGCTGCTGGAGCTTGGAGCGGGGCCATAGAAAGGAAATGCTAGAAAGTTTCCCCGCCTCTCTCAGCCCTCCTGCTGCACCAGGCTTTACAATGTCCAGGAAGCTGAGGCCACCAACCTTCTTGAGCCTCTTGGAGTTTTCCAGGCCCTGAAGGCAGGACCAGCTTAGCGCGGACCGCAAGTTCTCCATTACTCTGAGGAATGCTGTCTTCATATTTCTCCGCCTGGGGACAAGAGGCACAGTTTAGGGACAGGATTCCCCAAGCCCCGAGAACCTTCTGGGCTCCTCTTGTTGTCTCAGCTCCGTCCACGGATGCTTCCCCCTGACCCCCTGCAAGGCCCTGGGTGGAGTGGGCATGTCCGTGGCGGGAGGTCTTCCTTCCCCATCTGTGGTTTCAATCCCACCCTCCCCAACCCCAGCATGTGGATGAACAGCTCGACCACCCCAGCAAACCAGAGCCAGATGAGCCTGAGGAAGCAGAGGGACTCGAGGGCACTGAACACCCCCCGAGACATTTCTACGAAAACCCAGACACAGCCTGAGTTTGAAAAACGGAAATGAATTCAAGCCTCCACCCCACCAAGGTCAGTAGAGATTTGCGCTGCCCTTCCATGCCAAGGACTGACACAGACGCTGGAGACGGCACGGGGCACAGACTCTGCCCAGAGCCACAGGGAGTGGCCCCCAAGGTATGGCGAGTCTGAGGACACCTCCTGCCCACTGAGGTGCTTCTCTGTCATGAGTGGTTTTGCCAGAAAGTGAGTGAAGACAGGGCCCAGAGAAGAGATGACCCTGAAATCCACACCAGCTTTCTCCAGTGAGGTAGGAGGAGAGTATTGGGAAGAGTCTAGAGCAGGGGTGTCCACTTTTGGCTTCCCTGGGCCACATAGGAAGAAGAATGGTCTTGGGCCACACATAAAATACACTAACACTAATGATAGCTGATGAAAAAAACAAAAAAGCAAAAAAAAACCTCTCATGTTTTAAGAAAGTTTATGACTGTGTGTTGGGCTGCATTCAATGCCATCCTGGGGCCAGGCACGGTGATTCACGCCTGTAATCCCAGCACTTTGGGAGGCCGAGGCAGGTGGATCACCTGAGGTCAGGAGTTCGACACCAGCCTGGCCAGCATGGTGAAACCCTGTGTCTACTAAAAATACAAAAAATTAGCCGGGCGTGGTGCCTGACGCCTATAATCCCAGCTACTGGAGAGGCTGAGGCAGAGAATCGCTTGAACTGGGGGGACAGAGGTTGCAGTGAGCTGAGATCACACAACTTCACTCCAGCCGGGCCAAAGAGCAAAACTCCGTCTCAGAACAAACAACGACAAAAACCAAAAAGCAAAGCTGTCCTGGGCTGCAGGTTGGACAAGTTTGGTCTAGATACCTCCGGTCCACCATGGCTCCCCTGGCACCAAGAAGCAGCCCTCTCAGTCACCCTCAGAGGCTCAGGACTCCTGGGAGCCCACGTGGGACAGCCCCTGTCTTTCTGGCCCTTGGGTGCCAAACGAGATATGTATGGCTGCCTCCAGCCTTAGTGGCCAAAAACCGAGCCAGGATCAGAGGCCAGGGGCAGGCCTGTGGGCAAAGTCACCACCCAGCTGGCCTTAGGAGGGATGCCGTACTCCGTACTGTCTGCTCCTCACCCACTTGCCAGAGCAGGCTCGGTCTGAGGAGTCCTGGTGGCCGCCTGTCCTCTGCCAGGCCCTGCCTTTTCCAGGCCTTGTCTTTGAGCTGATGGCAGAGGTGTGGGAGAGGCAGGGTGCATGGGGGATTCTGCCTCTGACAGAGGGAGTCCAGTCTGGAAACTCAGGGTGTCCCAGAGGAGCCGACGCTCTTCTGAGAGACGACAGAGGGGGAGTGAGAGGAAGCCATGGAAGGCGGACACTTCGCCCACTTGCAGTGTGGCCGGGGCAGTAGCAAAGGGACGCCAAGGCTGAAGATGAGGCCCAGAGACGGCAGGAATCCTGAGCTCCGGGTCCTGGAAGGGAGGCCACTTCTGGTTGGGGTAATCAGGAGGTGAGCTTTGGGTCATCTTGAGCTGACCTTGGATAGGGGAGGCATTCCAGGTGGGCACCAGGTAGGGGAGGCTAAGCCCAGACTCTAGCTTGACGCAGTCAGCACAGGCAGTGCAAGTGTGGACACTGCCTGGAGGGGCAGGGAGGGGCGGACGGCTCACCGGGAGGCTTTGGCTTCACCCACCCGTAGCTGAAACCAGAGAAGCTTCCCAGCAGAGACACTGCGAATCCCAGCTGGGCTGGCTCCAGGGAGGAAAAGAGGCCAGATGGCCCTTGTGCCCTGTGTCCAGGTTGGAGAAGGCGGCTGGGCCCACTATGGGCCCGTGGCTGAAGGGAGTGGTCCAACCTGCTCGGTTTTTAAAGAGATGACGGGAGCTCACATTTTTCTCCCTTCCAGTCTCACATGAACTCTCCCCCAGTCTTGGATCTGGACATAGAAAAGTGCAAAGCAGCGTCTCCAAGAAATGCGAACCTCTCTCCAGGGCCCCCCCTCCTACCTCGACAGCCTGGGGGGAGCAGATCCTAAATCAAATCCAGTCCGCTCCTGTGACCCACCCACCCACCCATTTGCCGTCTGTCTCCCTCTGCACCATTCCAACATGCCAGCCAGGATGGCCTCTGCCTTCCCGATAACATTGGGTCCAGCGACTTGTCACCTGTGATTGTGCTGAGAGTGCCTGGGGTTGAAAGGTTAGAAACAACACACAGTAGCCCCTAGGGGACTGCATGGCTGAAGGCGGTGCCCCCAGGGAAAGGCATGGCCTGCTTCCAGCAGGTCAGCCATCCGCAAGGTGAGGCCTCCACCCGGTGAAGCCCTCATCCAGTCTGATCCCTGTGTGATGCTGAGGCTGGGGCTGTTGGGGTACTTGAACACAGCTGAGTCGGTTAAAACACACCCTCAGCCCACCCCACCCTGAAGGAAGTAACTATTTGAAAGTCACAGCGGGTCCAAGTCTCACCAGGTACGTTTTCTCTTCTGGGATCTCTCTGAAAAGTGATTTCAGTCTCACGGTGGGGATGCAGGGCACTCAGTGCAAAACCAGACCTCACCTTGGCCCGGAGTGGATGCCAGCGGAAGGACTGTGTTGTGCTGTCTTCAAAGTCCCACGTGGCCAGAGGAATGATCACTTCTCCAAGAAACACTCTCCGGGCCAGCGCACCCAGATGCCACACCGAGACCTGCAGCCGCCGGGTCACCAGCTGGGCAGGGGCCACCTGATACTGCAGAGGCAGAGCAAAGATAGTCAGCTGGGCTCCTGGGGTCCCTGTCTCTGGGCCCCACCTCCCTAGGCCTCACTTCCCGGGGCCTGTACAAGGCCTCCCTCCCACAGGCTGAGTCCAAGATGCAGATTCAGCCAGGGACCCAATGTGGTTAGGGTGGGTGAAGGTGCTTACAGCCAGGGTAGGATGGGGGTCCGCTCTCTTCTCAGGAACCCCCCAACCAACTCCCCAGGTGCCCAGTGCGCTGCCTGGGGACAGGCTAGCATGGCCCAGGTAGCCACTGAGCCCCTCCCACCCCCAATTCTCAGAGCAAGACAAGGATGAAAGTCCCTGTCCAGTCTGCACCTACTAGAAATCAAGCCAAAGTCTATGCTGACACGGGATCTGAATGTGCATCTGGCCAACATTGCACCCAGCCAGGCTTGGCTAAAAATACTGAAAATGGGGCAAAAAATACTGAAAATTTATTTTTTTTCTTTTTTTTTTGAGAGAGGGTCTCGCTATGTTGCCCAAGCTGGAGTGCAGTGGCTATTCACATGGGGGACCCCACTACTGATCAACACAGGAGTTTTGACCTGCTCCATTTCTGACCTGGGCTGGTTCACCCCTCCTTAGGCTTCTGCTCCCCCACTCCCGGGAGGTCACCCTATTTATGCCAAACTTAGTGAGGACATCCGATCGGCATAGCACACTACAGCCAAGAACTCCTGGATTCAAGCGATCCTCCAGCCTCAGCCTCCCGAGTAGCTGGGACTACAGGCACATGCCACCGCACCTGGCTGAAAATTTCTATTTTTTTTAAGCAAAGCACAAACTACCCCTCCTCCATTCCCCCCACACCACATGTCTGCCTTAGATGGACAGGGCTGCGTCCAGGCACGCAGGGCGTGTGCTGGCTTGGCAGTGGCCAACACGATGTTCTTACTATCCATACAGGAGGCTCCTACACACCCAAGAGTGACGAGAGCGCCCCTTCCCCAGCCCAGCATGGGTTCTGCCCCACAGACGCTGGAAGCCAAGACCCAGGAGTGACACCCAGCCCTTCCCACGGTGTGGCGGACTCCACCTCAGCCTCTGAGGGCCTCATTTCTAGCTTATTAGTTGGATTTTCTCAATAATGAACAAAACCTACAAGCTACTGAATGCTTATTTATTTCATAGCAAGATTTTTAGATGCATTGATCTTTTAGCTTTCACACACACCCTATGAGGTCAGTATTATTTAAACCATTTTGCAGGTGAAAACAAGCAGCGTGGAAATTCAGTGACCCTCCCGCAGCCCGGCAGCCAACACTGCAGGCCAGAGTCACGTGCACTGACTGTGTCCTGAGTCTTGCTGCTGACCTCTGTGGCCCCTGCTACCCTCACTCCGGCGCTTGTGTGGGGTTAGAGTGGTGACTCCCGGTGACACTGGGCTGTTGCTGTGAGGGTGGACTCGCTCCCACCTGCAGCCGCTGTGCGGTTGGTTTGCGGTTTATCTCCTCATGCCCATCTTTACCCACCTTTCCAATTGAGGGACGAGGTAGAATAAAACAGGAACCGAGACACGGTAACTTCTCTCCTTCAGCCTCTGCAAACAGAAGTGAGGGGCAGCAGGGCCGCCCCCGTCCCCTGCTCTGTTGGGGCTGCCTGCAGGCTCTGTCCACACTTCTGATGTCCGCAGGCCAGGCCCTCAAGGCTCCGCTGGCCTGGCTGTCTCCCTCAATTCATTCCTCCCTTTCTTCCCACTGGGATGGCTTGTGGCTGTGAAGATTGGAATTTCTTGGGTCACATTTCCTTTTCTCCTGCCTTTGACTTTTAGCCAGTTTTCCCTCCAGTCCATGAGTCCATTTCTTTTTGGGGAGACAGGATCTCACTCTGTCACGTAGACTGGGTGCAGTGGTGCAATCTCAGCTCACTGCAACCTCCACCTCCCAGGCTCAAACAATCCTCCCACTTCAGCTTCCCCAGTAGTTGAGACTATAGTTAGGCATCACCACACCTGGCTAATTTGTAGATTTCTGGTAGAGATGAGGTCTCTCTACATTGGCCAGGTTGGTCTCAAACTCTTGGGCTCAAACCATCTACCCACCTCAGCCTCCCCAAGCTCTGAGATTATAAGCATGAGCCACCACACCCAACCCATGGGTCCATTTCTGACTCTGCCCCAAGTTCAATCTCTGTCTATAAACTCTGAATTGATGAGGTCATTCCCCGTAGTCCAGCTACACTCCCTATCAGTTAGACCAGGCAGCTGGATAGCTGGCTGGCGGCATCTGCTGCCCTCTAAGAGATGAAGCGGTTACTGGAGTGCCACACCACTAGCAGGGTTGGGCTCAGGCCCCAAGGCAGCTCCCTCATCTCCAGCCATGTGTGGGCGACACCCAGGCTGCTTCTCCTGGGCCCTTACCCCTTGCTCGCCCCTTCCTGTCAATAGGACTATCCCCTACTGCAGATCACATCTGCCTTTTCAAACCAGACCTATTTATCAACGCCCTGTTAGGACAACCAGGCTTGCTCCAGACTCAGCTGGGAATGAGATGTAAGGATCATTCACGAGCAGGGCCGAGCAATGACCAATGTCACCCAGTGAGATCACTTCATCCTCCAGGCCTCCAGGTCAGTGGTCTCAAATGGCGTACAAGTCTCCCTGGGTCCAGAAAGGCTTGCCAAGAAGTACTCTGCTCAGAAAACCTTGAGGATCCGTTTCTAGATTCTCACATTTGACATGCAGTTTTCTCAAACCTGGCTGGAGGCAGTTCTCACAGCCTCTTCCACCTGAATCGCACTCTGATGGCTCGCCCCAGGTCGCACAAACCTCCTAGGTGCCACGCAAAGGGGTGATTGTGATTGGAAATACTGGCTTCTGCGAGACTTTCAATGATGGGTCTGCTCCGTGGCTTCTCATCCTTCACATCTTATGTGCATTTCTATTAAGTATGAGGCTGGTGGTGTTGGGACGTTCTGCGTTTAGGATCCATTACAGATGCTGATTCTTTTAATTCTATCTGGAAAGTTTCTCAGGACTATAAAATATTCACAATGTTCACAATATCCATGGATAAGACCCATGGATAAAAAATTTTAAGTGATACCTTTGAGATTCTGTGTGCATTTTAAGTAAGGTAGGTAAACCTTTTATCCAACCATATAACTAAATATTTATCTAGAATACAGTCAATATGAAATGTTTATCTCATTTCGTAAAGCTGTTTAACACAAAATACCTAATTAAACTTCCGATGACAAACTCCGGATCTCTGATTAAAATGTGTGAGGGGAAACACAGTTTTTCACTATTCTTCTAGCAGGCACATGAGCAGAACCGTCTGAAGACATTCTCTGGTGATGTGCTGCTACGTACTGACTGGTCCCAGCACCAGGAGAAAGGCCCCGCCCACACCTGCTGAATCAAAATCTGCATGTTTTCAAAAAATCCCCAGGGTCCAAGTACAGCTGCATCTTAGAAATAAGAAATTTAGGCCAGGTGTTGTGGCTCAAACCTGTAATCCCAACACTGTGAGGCTGGGGTGTGCAGATCACCTGAATGAAGTCAGGAGTTCGAGACTAGCCTGGCCAATGTGGTGAAACCCCATCTCTACTAAAACCACACACAAAAAAATTAGCTGGGCATGGTGGTGGGCACCTGTAATCCCAGCTATTCAGGAGGCTGAGACAGGAGAATAGCTTGAACCGGGGAGGCAGAGGTTGCAGTGAGCTAAGATTGCGCCACCGCACTCCCGCTGGACGACAAGAGCGAAACCCCATCTCAAAAAAAAAAAAGAAAGAAAAGAAATTTTTTAAAAATGTAAATCCCCACGGCATAAATTTTGAGAACTGTCAATCCTTTGTGGCTTTGAGCTGTATTTCTAAGGACTCTCTGGGTCTCAGTTTCCCTGTGGGTAAATGAGAATTCTCATACTTACCTGGACAGAGTAGAGACACAAGAAACAAAGGCTATTATTATTTAATGAACTCGGGGCTCCTTGCCAGCTTCCCAGATGGCCCCTGGCTGGCAGCTCACAGGCACCTCTACTTGCCAAGAAAGACAAACAAAGCCCTCTCCTGTCACAGGCCTGAGACAAGGGGACCGATGGCTGCTATGCCCCAGTGGGGTAGCCTCCACAGGTCTGAGCTGTCACCCCCACCCCAAGCTCAGGGCCACCACAGCCAGCCCTCAGACACCAGACCTCAGCTGCAGCCTTCCACCCAAAATCAGAGCACATGGCCCCATCTCTGCCCTAAACCATGAATCACATTCCTCAGTATCATAGAAAGTGAAGACCCGAACAATTAAGGATACGTTTAAAAAAATAATAAAATGAGAAGAAACCTGAGTTTGTCAGAAATACAATAAAGGGGCACTTTTACAAAGACAGTAACTCAGGAGCTTCATTTTCAGGATGCTCTGTTTGATAGAAACATTCGCTAAGACAAACCAATTTTTAAAATTACCCTATGCCCTGGTGTTAGCCTGAGACAAAGAGGCAGCCAGGTTCTTTTTCACCATCTTCCCAGAAATCATTAATCAAAAGCCATTCCTGAGTCTGGCAGACTCTGCACTTTTCCTGTACAAAGGCTGGTATTTATTTTCTACCAACTTAACACTGATTGACAGAGCCACAGAGAAACATACAGGTGTCTGCATTATATCTAACTGAGTCAAGAGTTTGAAGGCACCATTCGGTGGACTCTGCCCCGGCTGCCCGACCTGGGCTGGGAGGACTCCGCACAGGGATATCTAGCCAGCAAGTACCTGCAAGGTCTCCTGAAAGGTCGGGTCCACCGTGTTCTTTTGGACTCCAGTCTTGCGCTTTCCCTGGGAGGATCTGTCGGGCAGCAGATAGGTCTTCACATACCTAGGGGCCAAGCACAGTGGGGACAGAGTGAGAACTCAGGGAAAGGGGTGGATAAAGAGGCCGGCGGCAGCAGAACCCACACCCACATGCCAGCATTTTCTTTTCTTTTCTTTTCTTTTCGAGACGGAGTCTTGTTCTGTTGCCCACGCTGGAGTGCAGTGGTGTAATCTCGGCTCACTGCAACCTCTGCCTCCCAGGTTCAAGCAATTCTCCTGCCTCAGCCTCCCAAGTAGCTGCGATTACAGGCATCTGCCATCACACCCAGCTAATTTTTGTATTTTTAGTAGAGACAGGGTTTCACCGTGTTGGCCAAGCTGGTCTCAAACTCCCAACCTTGTGATCTACCCGCCTCAGCCTACCAAAGTGCTGGGATTATAAGCGTGAGCCGCTGTGCCCCGCCCGCACCAGCGTTTTCTTTACTAGGCTTCCTGCTGGAATTTTTAAGTTGATAGAAAGGGCTTAATATCCTAATAGTAAGCAACATTAGTGCTGGGTGGGCAGCTTCTGAATCACGAAGTCTATGGTCAAATGCTGGCTACATAACCCTCTGGAATATTCCTGGGGATGGGAAGCTCATCCTGCCTTCCTCAGGCCCTACTCCATTTGGTGAAGATGATGGAAACAGAGATTCTCTTGCGTGCCTGATGTCGAGGCCATGAGCCTGATTCCTGTCCCTCTACCTCCACCTCCACTTTCTACCACCCACCACCTGCAAAAGAAAATTAAGTGGAGAGCGCATGCCTCGCACTGTGCCGTTTCCTTGCCGGGGCCTCCAAGACTCGGCTCCTCCCAGCCGCTGAGCAGCAACATTCTGCTGAGTCTAGAGGTCACACACAGCGCGACAGAGGGCTCCATCTGCACTCACCCAGCATCTGAACGCCGGGCAGAGAGGAGGATGTATCCTGTCCTGTTCTAGGCTGACCCCTCCACACAGGCCCCTACACTGCCCTTCATGGCTCCTCTGGCAGCCTCAGTGATGGCGATACCCACCACCCCCCCGACCAGCAGCAGCCCAAGTCCCTGCTCCACAGGCTTGAAACAGGCTCCACTTTTCAAAGTAAAACAGCACAGCGAGCCCCCCTATCTGTGCCCTTCTGGAGCCCCACTCTTGGCCCTCTTCATCCCCCTTGGGAAGCTTTTTGTAAAAATACTCAAAACTGGCCAGAAGGCCAGGTGTAGTAGCTCACACCTATAATCCCAGCACTTTGGGAGGCTGAGGCAGGTGAATCACCTGAGGTCAGGAGTCCGAGACCAGCCTGGTCAACACAGTGAAACCCTGTTTCTACTAAAAATACAAAAATTCACCAGCGTGGTGACATGCACCTATAATCCCAGCTACTCAGGTGGCTGAGGCAGGAGAATCGCTTGTACCCAGAAGACAGAGGTTGTGGTGAGCCGAGGTCGCACCACTGCACTTCAGCCTGGGCGATAAAGCAAGATTCCATTTAAAAAAAACAACAAAAAACAAAAAAAAAAAAACACACCAGACACGGTGGCTCAGGGAGAATCCCATAAACCAGGAGTTTGAGACGAGCCTGGGCAATATAGGGAGACCTCATCTTCACAAAAAATTTAAAAGTCAACTGGGTGTGGTGGTGTGCACCTATAGTCCCAGCTACTCAGGGCCTGAAGTGGGAAGATAACCTGAGCCCAGGAGGTCGAGTCCCAGGTGAGCCATGATCATGTCACTGCATTCCAGCCTAGGTGGCAAAATGAGACTCGTCTCAAAAAAAAAAAAAAAAAACCCCTCAAAACTCCCTGTCTCTAATTCTCCACAGTTCATATGTAAAACAGAATATACAAAATATACCAATATGCTTGGAAGCATTATAATCAAGTGCGCACCCATGTACCCGCCCCCACCAGCTTAGGAAACAGAATACTACCAATGACTTTCCTATGGTAATCCTGCCCGTAACCAGGTAATAACCATACTGGATTTTACACTTAATCACCTCTTTGGTTTTCTTTATGGTTTCACCACTTTGACGTATCTCCTTAAACAATGTACTGCTTAGTTTTCCTTGCTTTTGAACTTTTATATAAATGGGATCATTCTGTAACTTGCTTTTTTTCACCCAATATTATGTTTGGGATTCATCTATGTTGCTATAACTGCTGCTCATTCATCTCTGCTCCTATGTATTACTCCATTAAATGAATACACCACAAGTCATTCATCCTGTTAATAAACATTTGTCTTACATCCTAGTTTTTTGCTCTGCTCATGGTGCACATGTGCAAGCATTTCTCTTGGCATATAACCAGGAGTGATAGGTATATGCCCCTTCAACTCTCCTAGATGATGCCAAATTACCAGTTCAATCTCTTTAACAGACATGGAGTTATTCAGGTTTTCTATTTCATCTCATGTCAGTGCACACCCATGTACCCGCCCCCACCAGCTTAGGAAACAGAACGCTACCAATGGCTCATGGCCTTGACATCAGGCAGGCAAGAGAATCTCTGTTTCCATCATCTTCACCAAATGGAGTAGGGCCTGAGGAAGGCAGGATGAGCTTCCCATCCCCAGGAATATTCCAGAGGGTTATGTAGCCAGCATTTGACCATAGACTTTGTGATTCAGGAGCTGCCCACCCAGTACTAATGTTGCTTACTATTAGGCTATTAAGCCCTTTCTATCAACTTAAAAATTCCAGCAGGAAGCCTGATAAAGAAAACGCTGGTGCGGGCAGGACACAGTGGCTCACGCTTGTAATCCCATCTCATGTCAGTTTTGGCAGTTTGTGTCTCTTGAGAATGTGTCCATTTCAGCCAAGTGTGGTGGCTCATGCCTGTAATCTCAGAATTTTGGGAGGCTAAGGCAGGAGAATTGTATGAGCCCCAGAGTTTGAGACCAGCCTGGGCAACATAGTGGGACCTCATCTGAAAAATTTTTTAAATTAGCTGGGCATGGTGGTGCACACCTGTGATCCTAGCTACTTGGGAGGCTGAGGCAGTAAGACCACTTGAGCTCAGGAGTTTGAGACCAGCCTGGACAACACACTGAGACTTTGTTTCTATTACAAGAAGAAAGAAGAAGGAAGAGGAGAAAGAGTCTTTCATCTAACTTGTTAAATTTATTAGCACAAAGTTTTACATAATATCCCCATATTATACTTTTTATTTTTATTTTTTTTTTGAGACAGTCTCACTCCATTGCCAAGGCTGGAGTGCAGTGGCACAATCTCAGCTCACTGCAACCTCTGCCTCCTAGGCTGAGGCAATTCTCCCACCTCAGCCTCCTGAATACCTGGGATTACAGGCATGCATCACCATGCCTGGCTTATTTTTTCTGTATTTTTAGTAGAGATAGGGTTTCACCATGTTGGCCAGGCTGGTCTTGAACTCCTGACCTCAAGTGATCCACTTGCCTCAGCCTCCCAAAGTGCTGGGATTACAGGCATGAGCCACCACGCCCATCCTAATTTTTGTATTTTTAGTGGAGATGAGGTTTCACTATGTTGAGCAGGCTGGTCTCAAATTCCTGACCTCAAGTGATCCACCCGCTTCAGCCTCCCAAAGTGCTGGGATTACAAGTGTGAACCACTGCACCCAGCCCCCTTATTGTCCTTTAATGTCTGCAAGTTCTGTCAGGTTGTCTCTTCTTTCATTCCTATACTGGTATTCGAGTACTCTCGGAGACAGAGTCTCACTCTGCCACCCAGGCCAGAGTGCAATGGTGCAACCTCAGCTCACTGCAACATCTGCCTCCTCGGTTCAAGGAATTCTCCTGCCTCTGCTTCCCAGGGAACTGGGATTACAGGCGCCCACCACCATTCCTGGCTAATTATTTTGTATTTTTAGTACAGAGAGGTTTCACCATTTTGGTCAGGCTGGTCTTGAACTCCTGACCTCAGGTAGTCTGCCTGCCTTAGCCTCCCAAAGTGCTGAGATTACAGGTGTGACCTACCACACCTGGGAGAATTCTTTTTAAAGTCTTACATTTAGTCTAGAGAGTTATCAGTTTTATTAATCTTTTCAAAGAACCAAGATTTAAGTTCATCGCATTTTTTCATTGTTTTCTATTTCATTGATTTGTGTTTGTTCTTATCTTTGCTGCTTTCATCCTTGCTTTAGAACTAATTTGTTCTTCTTTTTCTAGCTTTTTTTTTTTTTTTTTTTTTTTCTGAGACAGTCTTGCTCTGTTACCCAGGCTGGAGTGCAGTGGCATGATCTCTGCTCACTGCAACCTCCACCTCCCAGGTTCAAGTGACTCTCCTGCCTCAGCCTCCCTAATAGCTGGGACTACTGGCACACACCACCACACCTGGCTAATTTTTGTATGTTTAGTAGAGACAGGGTTTTCCCATGTTAGCCAGACCAGTCTCAAAATCCTGGCCTCAGGTGATCCACCCACCTTGGCCTCCCAAAGTGCTGGGATTACAGGTATGAACCACAGCGCCCCACCTCTTTCTAGCATTTTAAGGTGGAAGTTTAAATAATTCATTTTAAACCTTTCTTCTTTTAAATATAAGCACTGCTTTAACTGTATCGCTCAAATTTTGAAATTTAAAAGTCAGGGAATACTTTTGGGACAAAGTCTATTCCAGTTTTCCTGAGGTAGATGGTACAGGAAGAGTAATAATAGAGAGTCTGTTATGAAGGAGCCGTAAGTGCTATAGAAATGTGTACTTAATCTGTCTGGTATGAAACAGCTACTAAAAATTTCAGAGCAGAAGAGTTTGATTAAATCAACAATTGATTTCTTTGCCCATCATCACTCTTTAGCTGTTAATTAAAACACTATGCCCGAAGTTTCCCATGTAAGAAAAAAAAAAGCACAAATGAGGCCCCTGCCTTAAACTATATATAGAAAATCAATTCCAGTTGTTACACGAACAGATCTAAGCATGAAAAAAAAAAAACTGTTAGAAGAAAACAGAGAACGGATTTAAACCCTTCGATGCCGCAGGAATTCTACAGACACAAAAAGCAGAGATTTTAAAGGAAAAGCTTGATAAATTTGATATTACTTTTTTTTTTTTTTTTTTTTGGAGACAGAGACAGAGTTTCGCTCTTTCACCCAGGCTGGAGTGCAGTGATGTGATCTCGGCTCACTGCAACTTCCACCTCCCAGGTTCAAGAGATTCTCTTGCCTCGGCCTCCAGAGTAGCTGTGACTACAGGTGTATGCCACCATGCCTGGCTAATATTTTGTCATTTTTAGTAGAGATGGGTTTTTACCATGTTAGCCACGACGGTCTTGATCTCCTGACCTCACGATCTGCCCGCCTCAGCTTCCCAAAGTGCTGGGATTATAGGTGTGAGCCACCCCGCCCAGTCAATATTAAATTTTCTACAGTAAAAATCATAATAAACAAGTTATAAAAGGAGTTATAGCTGGGATAAAATACATGGAATACATATAACTAATAAATAAATTTTAAACCTCTTTAAAATAGGTTTAACCATCAAGGTCATGTCCTCTCAAAATTAAGAAATAGGTTTAACAAAAAACCTCTGGTGAATAAATAAAATGATAAACAATCCAGTAGAAAAATGGGAGACCAGATGCAGTGGCTCGTGACTAGAATCCCAGAGCTTTGGGAGGCTGAGGTGTGAGGATGGATGGCTTCAGCCCAGGAGTTTGAGAACAGCCTTGGCAACAGAGCAAAACCCTGTCTCTACAAAAATAAGTTAAAAATCTAGCTTGAAAAAAAAAAAGTTAAAAATATAGCCTCCTAAGTAGCTGGGATTATAGGCGTGTGCCTCCCAGCTGCTCAGGAGGCTGAGGCAGGAGGATTGCTTGAGCTATAGTGGCACCACTGCCCTCCAGGCTGGGTGACACAGTGAGACCCTGTCTCTTAAAAAATAAATTAATTTTAATTAAAATTTTAAAAAGAAAAATGGGCAAAAGATATGAACAGGAAGTTCGCAAAAATATAAATAAATAAATAAACCTAGCTGGGCGTGCTGTCTCACACTTGTAATCCCAGCACTTTGAGAGGCCAAGGCAGGGCGATCACTTGAGGTAAGGAGTTCGAGACCAGCGTGGCCAACATAGGGAAACTCTGTCTCTATTAAAAATACAAAAATTAGGCCAAGCACGGTGGCTCATGCCTGTAATCCCAGCTACTTGGGAGGCTGAGGTAGGAGAATCGCTTGAACCCGGGAGATGGAGGTTGCAGTGAGCCAAGATCACACCACTGCACTCCAGCCTGGGTGACAGAGCGAGACTCTGTCTCAAAAAATAAAAATAAAAAATTAGCTGGGTGTGGTGGCGGGCACCTGTAATCCCAGCTACTCGGGGGGCTAAGGCAGGAGAATAGTTTGAACCCAGGAGGCAGAGGTTGCAATGAGCCAAGATTGCACCACTGCACTCCAGCCTGGGCAACAGAGCAAGGCTCTGTCTCAAAACAAACAAAAAAAGAATAAACCTAAGTGGCTAATGCATATATAAAAAGTGGCTCCAAAGACCGGGCTGGCACCTGTAAATCTCACTTCTACCGTGTGGGAACACAAGAAAACAGCCATCTAAGAACCAGAAAGGAGGCCCTCGCTAGATACCAAATCTACCAGCGCCCTGATCTTTGACTTCCCGGCCTCCAGAACTGTGAGATCGGTGCTCGTCTTGTTTATAAGCCACCTGGTCTACATACCGTCACAGCAGTGAAACGGACTAAGACGCTCCTTGGTCATGTTACTTTTCATATACGCTAGGGTCTGAGTCTGGAGTTGATCTACTCTCCCAACTTGCTCTATTCTTGTGTTAATAACACATTGTTTGAATTGCTACAGCTTTATGATAATTCTTCAAGTGGCCTTTTCCATTTTTATGATTGTCCCGGTTATTCTTAGACGTTTGCTTTTTCATATAAATTTTAGAATCAGTATGTCTTAGGTTAAACTTCGAACTTACGGATTGCACTTTTTCTTCTTTTCTTCTCCATAGGCGAGGTTCTTACAGGCCTTGATGCATATTTCTAAAGAGTGGGTTTTGAAGCAGTAACGAATGGCCAATTCTATTTCCCCAGTGACGTTGGCATTGTCAAAGTTGCCCATCTCTGTACAGGTGCTATTAATGCTAATTAAACTTCCCTGAAATCAAGAATGACAGACATAGTAAGTTACATCACAGTTAATTCATTTTCCCGCAGTTGTGGTTTCAAGATAGCAAATGAATAAAAACTCATCCGGAGCATGCACCCTGACTCCCACTAAGTTAATAATGCACTAGCTTGTACTTTGCCAAAGTAAGTTGCCACATATTCTGTATTAAGGATATAGGGAATCCTCAGAAGGCCCTGTCTTGCCGGGATATAGTTTTTGCCTAGCAATAAAGGTTACACAATCTCACTCTTTCACACAAATTGCTTGGAGCGAAATGGACTATCTCCTCTGCAATCCTGCAGGAGGCCAGACAATCCCTGAGGCAGGAAACAGCAGTGTGGGGCCGCATGGCTATGACTGGCCATCAGACAGACCTGGGTTCAGATGCTGGTCCTGCCACTCATTAGCTGTGGTAAACTCTAACTGGAAAATACAATACTGATCTCATAGTGCTCTGGTGAGGATAATGGTAAATTGTAGTTAAATTTTTCTGGTTACCTAAAATGAAAAATAAAACTATCTTCACAATCTAGAGTACTTTAAGCTTATATGATGTAGATAAGGAGAAGCTATAATGAATGCTCTTCATTAGCACAAAATGCTTGGGCCTAAAAGATACAATAAGCCACCTTATCACTTTTTTTTTTTTTTTTTTTTTTTTTTTGAGCCGGGAGTCTTGCTCTGTCACCAGACTGGAATACAGTGGCGCCATCTCAGCTCACTGCAACCTCTGCCTCCCGGATTGAAGCGATTCTCCTGCCTCAGCCTCCTGAGTCGCTGGGACTCCCAGTGCCCACCACCATGCCCAGCTAACATTTGTATTTTTAGTAGAGACAGGGCTTCATCATGTTGGCCAGGATGGTCTTGATCTCCTGACCTCGTGATCCACCCACCTCAGTCTCACTTTATCACTATTAAATGTGCTTAAATACTCAGCAACATTTGCATGCAACCAATCTCTGTGCTGCCTTTATAGGAAGAGAATCCAAACTGATTTCTACTTCTAGTTCCCAGCCAGCTCCTCCACACGATAAAACATCCAGAAAAGAATCAAAGAAACAAGCCTGGGGGTAGAAGGTCGAACCACGAGGGAAGATAAAATTAAAACAATACCAACAACTGGGACCTGGCGTGGTGGCTCACGCTTGTAATCCAGCACTTTGGGAGGCCAAGTTGGACAGATTGCTGGAGGTCAGGAGTTCAAGACCAGCCTGGCCAAGATGGTGAAACCCTATCTCTACTAAAAATACAAAAATTAGCCAGGCATAGTGGCACATGCCTATAATCCCAGCTACTCGGGAGGCTGAGGCATAAGAATTGCTTTAACCCAGGAGGTAGAGGGTGCAATGAGCCAAGGTCGCACCACTGCACTCCATCCTAGGTGACAGAGTGAGGCCCCGTCTCAAAACAAACAAACAAACAAATAAAAAGCAATACCAACAACTCATCAAAGGGGCTGGAACCTGAACTGATGAATGGCAAGAACAAAACAAGCTTCACCAAACCCAGTCACTGGCTCTGAAAAGTATCACTTGCCAACACCAGCCCAATGTTAAAATGGAAAACAATGTACAATTTTTCACACTTAGGCATGGACCGGGCATGGTGGCTCACACCCATAATCCCAACACTTCAGGAGGGGTAGGTAGGCGGATCACTCGAGGTCAGGCGTTTGAAATCAGCCTGGCCAATATGGTGAAACCCCCACTCTACCAGAGGGGGATGGACTGGTGGGCCAGCATGAATAAGTGAGGTATGAGAAGTGAAGATAGAAGAGAATGTATAAAGGAGCTTGGTAAAAGGTGCGAGCGGCCTGAGAACCAGGTGGATGAATGGAGAGGCTGATGAAAGCGATTAATACAGCATTTGTCATGGGACTCAGCTTCAGGCTATGTTGAACTAAATGGTGTGACACACACTTCTCTGCTGAGAACAATTAGAAAGCTGAATTAAACAACCAAACTATTTCAAGACATTGCAGAGCCGCCAAGACCACCAGGATGAAAGGGGCCAGAATGCTGAGGAGACGCACACTGAAGCAAGCAACATTCGGAGCTGCTCTCACATCAGGGCATTAGTCCCCATGCAAGCAACACAGGACTTTTGACTCTAGTCTACGCTTGACTCTCCTTGCATCAAGAACACAGTTTGGGCCGGGCGTGCTGGCTCAGGCCTGTAATCCCAGTACTTTGGGAGTCTGAGGCAGGTGGATCACCTGAGGTTAGGAGTTCGAGACCAGCCCGGCCAATGTGGTGAAACCCCGTTTCTACTAAAAATACAAAAATTAGCAGGGTATGATGGCACGTGCCTGTAGTCCCAGCTACTAAGGAGGCTAAAGCAGGAGAATCACTTGAACTAGGGAGGTAGAGGTTGTGATGAGCTGAGATCGTGCCACTGCACTCCAGCCTGGGTGACAGAGTGAGATTCTGTCTCAAAAATAATAATAATAATAAAAAGAACACATTGTTTGAATGACTACAGCTGTATGTCCAAGGGTTGGATGACCAAGAAGTCAATCTAAATGAAACAGCAAAGAGACTAAGAAGCTGAGCGGAGTTTTCAGCAGCCTAACGAGATTGGGAGACAAAATCAGCATTCAAGGCCATGAAGTCATGTGGAACCTAAGGAGCGAAGGTCATAGAGACAGGGCAAATCCATGCTTTAGGATGCCAGCCAGGGGCACATGCGCCTTTAGCAAAATTGACATCAACAATGCATTTGGCCCAGCAGCATACAGTGCAGTGGGAGTTCAAGAAATTTTGCGAAGGAGACGAGAGCCTTAAAGATGAGGGGTGCAGTGGCCAGTCACCGGAAGATAACAACGACCAACTGAGACCAATCATCGAAGCCGATCCTACAACTACAGGAGAATTTGCCGAGAAACTCAACGTCAATCGTTCCACAATTGTTCGGCATTTGAAGCAAATTGGAAAGGTGAAAAAGCTCGGTGAGTGGGTGCCTCGTGTGCTGAGCAAAAATAAAAAAACAATCTTCATTTTGAAGTGTTGTCTTCTCTTATTCTACACAACAACAAACCATTTCTCAATCAGATTGTGATGTAGGATGAAAAGTGGATGTTATATGACAACCAGCAATGACCAGCTTAGCAACTGAACTGAGAAGAAGCTCCAAAGCGCTTCCCAAAGCCAAACTTGCACCAAAAAAAGGTCCTGGTCACTGTTTGGTGGCCTGCTGCCAGTCTCATCCACTACAGCTTTCTGAGTCCAAGTGAGCATACACCTGAGATGTATGCTCAGCAAATTCACGAAACGCATCAAAAATTGCAATGTCTGCAGTTGACTCTGGTCAACAAAAGGGGCCCAATCCTTCTCTACAACAACACCAGACTAACCAACACTTCAAAAGATGAACAAGGCCAGGCGCAATGACTCACACCTGTAATCCCAGCACTCTGGGAGGCCAAGGCAGGCAGATCACGTGAGGTCAGGAGTTTGAGACCAGCTGGCCAACATGCTAAAACCCCGTCTCTACTAAAAATACAAAAATTAGCCAGGTGTGGTGGTGCATGCCTGTAATCCCAGCTACTCAGGAGGCTGAGGCAGGAGAATCAGATGAACCCAAGAGGTGGAAGTTGCAGTGAGCTGAGATAGTGCCACTGCTGCACTCCAGCATGGGCGACAGAGCGAGACTCCATCTCAAAGCAAAAAAACAAAAACAAAAGTTAAATGAATTAGGCTACAACGTTTTGCCTCATCCACCATATTCACCTGACCTCTCACCAACAGACAACCACTTCTTTAATCATCTTGAGAACTTTTTTTTTTTTGGGGCCGGGCGCGGTGGCTCACGCCTGTAATCCCAGCACTTTGGGAGGCCGAGGTGGGTGGATCATGAGGTCAAGAGATCTAGACCATCCTAGTCAACATAGTGAAATCCCGTCTCTACTAAAAATACAAAAAATTAGCTGGGCATGGTGGCACATGCCTGTAATGCCAGCTACTCAGGAGGCTGAGGCAGGAGAATTGCCTGAACCCAGGAGGCGGAGGTTGCAGTGAGCCGAGATTGAGCCATTGCACTCCAGCCTGGGTAACAAGAGTGAAACTCCGTCTCAAAAAAAAAAAAAAAAAAAAAAAAGAATTTCTCCAGAGAACTAGAATTATAACAAAAAATCAAACAGAAATTTCTCCAGAGGACTAGAATTTATTTTTATTTATTTTTATTTTTATTTTTTTTGAGATGGAGTCTCACCCTGCCACCCAGGCTGGAGTGCAATGGCACGACCTCAGGTGGTCTGCCTGCCTCAGTTTCCTAAAGTGCTGGGATTACAGGCATGAACCACCACACTTGGCTAGAATTTATAATAATAAATCAAATAGAAATTAAGGAGTTGGCCATGGTGGCTCACATCTGTAATACCAGCACTTTGGGAGGCTGAGGCAGGCAGATCATCTGGGTTCAGGAGTTCAAGATCAGCCTGGCCAACAGGGTGAAATCTAACGCTACTAAAAACACAAAAATTAGCCAGGTGTGGTGGCACACACTTATAATCCCAGCTACACAGGAGGATGAGGCAGGAGAATCACTTGAAGCCAGGAGGCAGAGGTTGCACTGAGCTGAGATCATACCACTGCCCTACAGGCTGGTTGACAGAGTAAGACTTCATCAAAAAAAAAAAAAAAAAAAAAAAAAGCCTAAGAAGTAAGGTAACTGAAATGAAGAACTTGACAAATTAAATTAATATAAGATCAGACTTAGCTGAAGGGAGGATTGGTAAACTGGAAGATGGGTCAATAGAAAATATTTGCAGTGAAACACAGAGGGAAAAAAAATGAAAGAAAAATAAAGAGTATAAGAGCCATACAGGGCCAAATACTGTGGATCATGCCTGTAATCCCAGTACTTTGGGAGGCCAAGGTGGGAGGATTGCTTGAGGCCAGGAGATCATGACCAGTTTCCACAACACAGTGAGACCCTGTCTCTAACAACAACAACAACAAAAATAATTAGCTGAGTGCTTCTGCAGCTAAGTCCAAGAGTTCTGGGATGCAGTCAGCTAGGGCTGTGCCACTGCACTCCAGCCTGGGCAATAGAGTGAGACTCTCATCTCAAAAAGATGGGAGAGAGAGACAGAGAGAGAGAGAGGGAGGGAGACATACAGGACATAATGAAAAAGTATAATATATGTTTGGACTCTCATATAGAGAAAAATGCGACAGAAGGTGTAACTGAAAAGATAATGGTTAAGAATTTCTGAAGCCTAACAAGAGACAATAAACCACAGATTTAAGAGGAACAATATTTTTTTTAAACTATACATAGGTACATCATAATAAAATTCCTTAAAATCAAAGTTAAAGAGAAAACTTTAATGGTAGAGAAAAAAAGGATCCAATACCTTTGATGGAATAAACAGTAAGTCTAACCATCTTACTGCCTACCAGAAATGATAGAAGCCAGACTTGTTTAATCCAAAAAGAAAGATGTTTCAGGGAGGCAGAGAAAGGCTCTCCTAATGCACGACAGACCTGCCCAGAATGGCCTCTCTGTTCCTAGGAGGGCGACAGTTTTTGGGATGGGGGTCTTGCCTCAAGCACACCACTGACCTTGCTGGGGTTCTTCTGTTGTCCAGCCAAGGCTACGTTTGATGCCATCTCTAAGACTTACAGCTACCTGACCCCTGATCTCTGGAAGGAGACTGTATTCACCAAGTCTCCCTATCAGGAATTCACGGACCACCTCGTCAAGACCCACACCAGAGTCTCCGTGCAGAGGACCCAAGCTCCAGCTGTGGCTACAACATAGGGTTTTTATACAAGAAAAATAAAGTGAATTACATTGCAAAAAAAAAAAGAAAGATGAAAAGAAAGGGGTAGAGATAGTAACACAGATCGAGAGAAAAACGTTACAATAAACTAGATCAGATTACATACTACAAAAAAAGTCAATGAATGGATTTAAGACCATCTGACTCTGTGCTATTTAGATGAGACACAGCTGAAATATGAATGTACAGAAGGGTAGGAAGAGAAGGAACCTTCTTTTGCAGAGTGAAGGGGTGAGATCCAGACGGGGAGGGCTGTGTAATTGGGAGGGGAAACATGGGAATGCCAAGTGCAGACAACTCATAAAAGCTTAGCTGAGGGGTTCGGTGAGGTGGTGCATGCCCGTTATCCCAGCACTCTGGGAGGCCAAGGCGGGCAGATCACTAGAGGTCAGGAATTCAAAACCACCCTGGCCAACATGGCAAAACCCCATCTCTACTAAAAATACAAAAACTGGCCGGGCATGGTGGCACACACCTGTCATCCCAGCTACTTGGTAGACTGAGGTGGGAGAATCGCTTGAACCTGGTGGGAGGTTGCAGTGAGCCAAGATCACACCATGATACTCTAGCCTGGGCAGCTGAGCAAGACTCTGTCTCAAAGCGAAACAAATCAAAATAAAAAGATTAGCTGAGGTGGGGAAGAGAAAAATGGTAGCTGGAGGGGAATGGAAGGTTGCGTGAAGGTGTTTTGTTTCATTACAAGAGACTTGAATGTGTTTAAGGAGCCAGGTAAGCGGAGGCCAAATGCATAAGAGAGAAGAAGGATAAGTAGCAGAATAAGGAACAGGGAAGGCAGGGGAGAGCAGGATCCCAAGTATCCCTGCAGGCATCAGCTTCTTCTATCGTGGGCGGGGAAAGGAGAGTCACTTGGGTGCAAATGCGGTTGGTTAATTTTGGTTATCAGGAGGATTGGGAAATTTCAACCTGATTCTTTTCTTTCTTGGTAGAGTAAAAAGGGAGATTTGTTGTGAGTGAGGAGCAACAGCAGGTTTGAAAAGACTGGAGGAGGTATGAAACGGTTGTTGTGGACAGCAAAAAAAACTGTGTTAATCAGGCAAAGACATCAGGATTGCTGGGCAGTGCTGGGCACAGTTGGACTTGGGAACACAACAGGGCAGAGTCCCCAGCACGCACGTGTGAGTGTCCTGGGGTTAGGGCTGCCCTGCCATGCGCCTGGCTCCTTGGGTGTGCAGCTGTTGACGTGCAGGTAGAAAGAGAGTGCACGGCTGGGCTCGTCTGGGTTGGCGCCCAGAATTATAAAGCATCCAGAAAGCAGCATCGTTATTCATCTTTCAAGGTCAAGGCAAGTTGAGCCACGCCCCAAATTGCATCACACCTCAGAAGTTGACCTGGAAGTGGAGCTGGGCTCCTAAACCTTTGGGCCATAACGTATGCTTGTGTCTCTGAGTAGTTCAGCTGCTGTGTCTGCTGAGCAGGGAGGGGAGGATACACCCTCAGATAACGAAAGCAGAGCAGAGAAGTTGGTCCGTCAAGCGGATTCCTTCTCAAATGACTTATGGCTCCACCACCGTCGTCCTGGCAGGGCTCCTGGTTTTGCTTGCTCTAGAGCCAGAACAGAGCCTTCGACAGGTCACAAACTGAGAGCAGCCAATGGAGTCGTCCAAAAGATTCTGGTCCAGAAGAGCAACCAAAAACTCAGCCTGACTTTTATTAAAGCTACTGGCACCATTTGGGTTGGAAAGAAAGTCTGGGCAACAGGGAAGGAAAAACTCAAGGCAGGCAGGGTGCCTCCTGCCAGCGACTTTCTCTGAAGGTCACAAATTTATCTCCTGACACTGTAAGCAAAGTTTCATGCCCTTTTATATTAAAAATGAAATAGGGCAGAAAACTAAGAGTCAATGGAAGCCACAGCTATATTAAAAATAATAAATCCTGACAATCAAGAACACACTGAGAACATTTCTGCAAAGCTCTCCAGATGCTGAGTGAGGAGGCCACACAGCAGCCTTCCACTGCCTGGACCTGACATAGTGGCTGTGTGAGCTTGAGCAATTAGCTTACCCTCCAGGGCCTCAGTTTCCTCATCTGTAAAATGGGGATCTATCTCATAGGGTCATGGTGAGGTTCAATTAGTTAACAAAAAAAGACAGAACCATGCCTATGCATGGTAAGCTTAGGGATTACCAGCCTTTTTAAAATCCCACGAAATGCGGATGCCCTTTGCAAGCTGAGCAAACCATTCCTTTGGTTTTCTTTTTTTCTTTTTTTGCCATGAAATATATAAAAGAGTACATATAATACATAGGATTAAACAATAATTATAAAATTAACATCCAGCCGGGCGCAGTGGCTCACGCCTATTATCCCAGCACTTTAGGAGGCAGAGTCAGGCAGATCACTTGAGGTCAGGAGTTCGAGACCAGCCTAACCAACAGAGAGAAATCCCATCTCTACTAAAAATACAAAATTAGCCAGGCATGGTGGCACATGCCTGTAATCCCAGTTACCTTGGAGGCTGAGGCAGGAGAATGGCTTGAACCGGGAGGCAGAGGTTGCAGTGAGCCGAGATGGCGCCATTGCACCCCAGCCTGGGCAACAAGAGTGAAACTCCATCTCAAAAAAAAAAAAAAAAATTCACATCCATGTGCACACCTCTCAGCTTAAGAAAAATAACCACCAGGACTTCAGAAGCGCCCCAGAACAACTCCTCCCTTATCAAATCCTCTCTCATGCCTGTCTACAGGAAACACCATTTCAAATTGTCTGTTAATAATCCTTTTCTTGATGGTCTTACTTAAAAAAAAATTTTTTTGAGACGCAGTCTTGCTCTTGTCACCCAGGCTGAAGTGTAACGGCACGATCTTGACTCACTGCAACCTCTACTTCCCAGGTTCAAATGATTCTCCTGCTTCAGCCTCCCAAGCAGCTGGGATTACAGGCATCTGCTACCACACCTGGCTAATTTTTGTATTTTCAGTAGCGATGCGGTTTCACCAATGTTGGCCGGGCTGGTCTCAAACTCCTGACTTCACATGGTCCACCCACCTCAGCCTCCCAAAGTGCTGGGTTACAGTGTGAGCCACTGCACCCGGCCAATGATTTTATTATATATGAATATATCCCCCAAACAATCTACTGTTTAGTTTTGCCCAATTTTGAAATTTATACAATTAGAATAATACTGTGTGTACATTCTCCATAATTTTACTTTCTCTAGACATTTTGGTCGATAGTTTTTCCAAAATTAAAACAATTATAAACAATGCTGTCCTGGACATCTATGTATGCACATTTTGGCCAACATTCATGGTAATTTTTAAAGAGCAGTTCCTGTGACTGAAGTTGTTCAATTCAAGGGAACATGTAGAGGCATCTGATATCTACTGCTAATCGCCCTCCAGAAAAGCTGTCACAGTTTCTGCTCACCCGGCACGCTTGCTGCTCTCTACCTTGCCAACACTGAGCTCTATTATTTTTAAAATTTACTAAAGTAGTCCAAAAATAGCAGCTTACTTTTACTTTTCACTGATTTGCCTACTGGGGAGGTTGAGCAATTTTCCCTATGTGTTGCCCAGGTCTGGTTTTATTCTTTTGTAATAAGTGGAAATTTAATAAGCTGGGATTTTCTTTGTTTGTTTTGTTTTGTTTAGCTCCAATCCTTGTTTCTCAGAGAATGTAAATATCCCCAAAAGGGAAGGCAACACCTTTAGCAAGAAGCAATAACCAGTGGTTTTGTGGAATTTCAGTTTCCTCAAATAAACGCTGCTTTAGCCTAAAGGAAACAGGTCACAATTAAATGCATACTAAATAAATCTCATGATTATAAATTTTAAAGGTAGCTGGATGAGGTGGCTCATGCCTGTAATCCCAGTACTTTGGGAGGCCGAGGCAGGCAGATCATGAGGTCAGGAGATTGAGACCATCCTGGCCAACAAGGTGAAACTCCATCTCTACTAAAAACACAAAAATTAGCCAGGTGCGGTGGCTCGTGCCTGTAATCCCAGTTACTCGGGAGACTGAGGCAGGAGAATCACCTGAACCTGGGAGACAGAGGTTGCAGTGAGCTGAGATCACCCTACCGCACTCTAGCCTTGCAACAGAGTGAGACTCCATCTTAACAAATAAATAAATAAAACTAAAAACTTAAGAGCAGAAATCAGAGAAAAACTTTAGAAAAATGGGTGAGAACAGAGCCCTGTTGAATTTGCACTATGATTTAGTTAGGAATAAATAATTATAAAATTAACATCCGTGTGTGTGTAAAATCTGATTCATACTCAAAGTTGATGAGTGTATGGGGAATTGCATAATCTCATATGCCACTGATGGGGCTGTCAGGAACAAATTTTTGTTTTCCAACAAAAAGTCCTCAAGCAGCAAAGGGACGAAGATGGATTTATTCAGCCCACGTCTCCCTACGCCAGCACCCTGGCTCCGTTGCTAGGTGTGGATTGGCCCCGAGCAGTGAAGCTGAACCAGGCAGCGTGAGTCAGGAAAACTGCTCAATGCAGGAGTACCACTCACCCTGTGGGATAGTATGAAAGGCTGCGTATGGACTCCCCAGACCCCTGGTTTAAATCAGTTCAATAGTAACCTCGGGACCTTGGCAAATCGCTGTAACCTCCGTGAACCTCAGGTCCCTTGTTTGGGAAATGGGATAACAGCATCTTCCACAACAAGATCTTTGTGAGAATGACTGAGCTGTGAAGCACCCACCTTGGGCTTTTGATAAACGATAACTATGATTGGGATTAATCCAATCACTCAGTAAACATTTATTGAGGACACTTAAGTGTCAGACACAGCTCTTGGGATAGAGTCTAGTGGGGAGGTGAGAGAGACAACCCGCAACAGATGAGCCAACTTTACAGCATGTCGGGGGATGGTGAGGACATGAATTCACATAGAGCAGGTGGGGAGGGCGGGGCAGGGGGAGCCCCCTGAGAAGGTGGCTTGGAATAAAGCCTTAAAGCAAGGAACTGCATGACTCGTGATGTCTGTAGAGGGAAAGATACAGAAATGCCTGGAGGTGGGATGTGTCTGGGGGTCCCACACCAGTGAATGACCCTGCGGCTGAGTGGAAAGAATGACCGGGAGGGTGACGGCTGGTGAGGGTTCAGAGCAGAGTGGAGGGCAGGTCACACAGACCCTACAGACCCTAAGGGGGTGGATCCGAGCCCACGTACTTGGCTACGTGTTGGTTTCTAGGGCTGCAAAGACGTGATTCTGGTCCTTGAAGGAGCTTAGAGTCCAATCTAGTACGACCCTGGGCAGTTCAGGGGAAACTGGCCCACCAGCTCTCTACGAAGGCACAGCCTCATCCCAACCCCTCCATCCCCAACCCCCATCAGCCTCGTAGAGGTTCAAACTGGCTGGATTCCTCGGTGTCCTCTGTCACCTGGGGTAAAGGCAAACCTTCAAGTGAGTCTTGGAAAAGCCTCCCAGAGGCTAGTGAATGGGATTCAGGTTTTTTTTATTTTTTTTTTTGAGACGGAGTTTCGCTCTTGTTACCCAGGCTGGAGTGCAATGGCGCGATCTCGGCTCACCGCAACCTCCGCCTCCTGGGTTCAGGCAATTCTCCTGCCTCAGCCTCCTGAGTAGCTGGGATCACAGGCACGCGCCACCATGCCCAGCTAATTTTTTGTATTTTTTTAGTAGAGACGGGGTTTCACCATGTTGACCAGGATGGTCTCGAACTCTCGACCTCGTGATCCATCCGCCTCGGCCTCCCAAAGTGCTGGGATTACAGGCTTGAGCCACCGCGTCCAGCGGGATTCAGGTCTTTTAAAAGAGGCTGCACGCAGTGCTGGACCCTCTTGCCCTTCCATCCTTTCCACCATGTAAGGAAGACACTTAGACGGAGCCATCTGCAAGGAACAGTCCACCAGATACCAGTCCTGTCCGTGCCTGGAGATCTGAAACTTCCCAGCGCCTAGGACCAGGAAAAATCAATTTCTATTGTTTATCAATTACCAGTCTTTGGTATTTTGTTATCACAACATGGATGGACTAACACAACTGTTAGAGGAAGCATCATGGCCCCTCACCCAAGAATCCATCTATGATACCATGTATCACAATTCTCGGCATAAACACTCAATGTTTTTTAATAAACAAATGAAGGAACAGATGAGTTGAAATGCCGGCCTATACACAGAGAATACATTTAAAACATCACGAAGCAATCTCAAAAAAGAGCCAAACTGAACGACTTACAGTATCCAACTGCAAGACTTACTACAAAGATGCAGTGCTCAGGACAGTGCGGTCTTGGCAGAAGGATGGTGAAGAGATCACTGGAACAGAAAGAGAATCCAGAAAGAGATCCACCCTTATGTGGTCATGTGATTTCTAACAAAGATGCCAAAGTCACTGGGGGAAATAATAGTCTCTTTCTTTAATAAATGATACTAGATTAATTAAATATCCATATGGAGAAACATGAGCCTCAATCTCTACCTTATACCACTCACCCGCACACAGAAATAATGATGAGCTGGAGCACGACCCTGGATGTTAAAGCTAAACTCTTCTAAACTTCTAGATGAAAATGTGGGAGAGTATTTTCCTGACTTGCAGATGGACGAGACACAGACTTAACAATAAAAGAACATGCTGATAAACCAGACTTCATCGAAATTAAAAACAACAAAAATCAAAAGACACCAATATTTATCACTCTCTATATTTACGAAAATGTTCACAATAAGATGTTGTAAGAAAGCAAGCCCACTTTCAAAGTATAGTAAGGGTTTCCCCAAATCCCAACCTAAGTAAAATACCACTTCCAAGCCCTGTTGTCACGTTCTAGTGTCTCCCACAAGGCGACAGCTCATCCTTCCCCTTGTGTACTGATGTCATAATAACCCTGCCGCACATATCAAGAGTACTTGGGGCCAGGCATGGTGGCTCATGCCTGTAATCCCAGCTACTCGGGAGGCTGAGGCAGGAGAATCACTCGAACCTGGGAGGCGGAAGTTGCAGTGAGCGGAGATCACGCTACTGCACTCCAGCACTCCAGCCTGGACAACAGAGTGAGACTTTGCCTAAAAAAAAAAAAAAAAAAAAAAAAAAAAAAAAAGCATACTTGGATGAGGCACACACGTCAGAATGGCCATGGGAGGTGGGTGGGTGGCCTGGTGGGTGAAGATTCCCCCCACAACACTTTTCTGTCCAGGCATCATGCCCATCCTTGTAAGGTAAAAACCTCAGAAGGATGCTTTCTTCCTAACAAAGCCTCATGGCCAAACACCTGTTTGACCCATTTAAATGGAAAAATGAAAATTCTAGGCCAGGTAAGGTGGCTCATGCTTATAATCCCAGCATTCTGGGAGGCCGAGGCGGGTAGATCACTTCAGGTCAGGAGTTCAAGACCAGCCTGGCCAAGATGGGAAATCCCTCTCTACTAAAAATACAAAAATTAGCCAGACATGGTGGCATGCACCTGTAATCCCAGCTACTTGGGAGACTGAGACATCAGAATCGCTTGAACCCAGGAGACAGAGGCTGCAGTGAGCTGAATCGCACCATTGCACTCCAGCCTGGGCAACAGGGTGAGACTCCATCTCAAAAATAAAAATAAAAATGAAAATAATGAGGCTGGGCACAGTGACTCACGCCTGTAATCCCAGCACTTTGGGAGGACGAGGTGGGCGGATCACCAGGTCAGGAATTTGAGACCAGGCTGGCCAACATGGTGAAACCCTGTCACTACTAAAAATACAAAAATTAGCCAGGCATGGTGGCAGGAGCCTGTAATCCCAGCTACTCAGGAGGCTGAGGCAGGAGAATTGCTTGAACATGGGAAGCGGAGGTTGCAGTGAGCTGAGATTGTGCCATTGCACTCCAGCCTGGGCAACAGAGACTGTCTCAAAATAAACAAATAAACAAACAATAATAATAAAGAAAGTTCTACCTAGGAACACGATGTTAACAGAAAAAATCTGTCATTATGCAAACAGTACAGCACTCTCAACAGACACTGAAAACAGCTCTTATCTCAAAGACTCCAGGGCTTGCATCACAGTAAGAGAAATGCTGGTGATGCCAGGGAAAACAGCGTGGAATGAACGAAGTCTTCCTGCCAGCCCGTGGTCTCTTTGTGGACCCATTACCTCGCATTCCCAATCATATTAAATCACTCCCCACCCAGAGGCTCCTCAAGACTTTGAACAGTTCTTCAGTGGCCCTTACAGAAAGACACTCTCTCCAAACAAATGCAGTATCTAGATTCAGTTCATCGGATCTCTAGAAAACACCAGAATTATCAGTGAAGAATATATTAAATGGCTCAAGGCCTACTATCAGGCATATTTCTATGACTTGTTAGTAAAATGCCTAGAACTAGTTCCTGTTTCTGCAATGAGGTGTTCCTTTAGAGTCAACGATAACTCACAGACAAAACTACAAGTTCACACAGGGGCTATCTTGAAGTTCTTAAAAAAGAAGAAACCTGGCCAGGCACAGTGGCACATGCCTATAATCCCAGCACCTTGGGAGGCCAGGACGGGTGGATCATGAGGTCAGGAGTTCAAGAACAGTCTGGCCAAGATGGTGAAACCCCATCTCTACTAAAAACTACAAAAAGTAGCCAAGCGCGATGGCAGGCGCCTGTAATCCCAGCTACTCTGGAGGCTGAGGCAGGAGAATCACGTGAACCCAGGCAGCAGAGGTTGCAGTGAGCTGAGATCGTGCTGCTGAACTCCAGCCTGGGCAACAGAGTGAGACTTCATCTCAAAAAAAACCAAAAACAAAAGCAAAAAAAAAAAAAAGAAGAAGAAACCTGAAGATGCCTTCATGGGGATAACAATGATTGATCTTTACCCAAGAAACTCCTGAAATTTTGTCTTTGGACAGGCCTCTTTGACAGACAGTGTAGGGATATTCAGCTTTGCTAAGTGTGGCAGTGATTTTTATAACTTGTGCTATGAAGGCAAAGTGAGGAGGCGCCGGAAAGCATCTGCTAGTGACTATTCAATTTTTGATAACTATTATATTCTGGGAAGAATTTGTGTTTCACTATGTTGATCCCGTAAGATTTTAAGCCATGAGATTGGACACACACGTGGACCGTGACACTGCCAGTGGCTTTCGTGCCTAACGCAAGGCTCCAACCACTTGGAAGAGGCTGACCAGTACCCTCTTGCCCTGTTTACTCAAGTTGCAGAGTGCGACTGACTTCAGCGTTGTAGAAAGCTACAAAGCACTGGGGCGGGGCGGGGAGTGGATTGATGATCAATCTGTGGCACACCTGTAGTAATTCCAAAACACAGGCCTGAGGGTGATGTGACTTACCAAAACCTACAGGAATCTTTAAAGAATGGAAAGACGGGCCGGGCGCGGTGGCTCACGCCTGTAACCCCGGCACTTTCAGAAGCTGAGGCGGATGGATCACCTGTGATCAGGAGTTCGAGACCAGCCTGGCCAACATGGTGAAAGCCTGTCTTTACTAAAAGCATAAATATAACCAGGAATGGTGGCGGGCACCTGTTATCCCAGCTACTCAGGAGGCTGAGGCAGGAGAATTGCTTTTACCCAGGAGGTGGAGGTTGCAGTGAGCTGAGATCGTGCCACTGCACTCCAGTCTAGGCAACAAGAGCAAGACTTCATGTCAAAAAAAAAATTAAAAAAATAGAAAGATGGATAATAAAATGCCTTGCTGTTCTCCACAAATAAGGACCTTCAAATAGGAGTAATCAAAATAAATACTCATACATTATGCTTTCAAACACACACACACACACACAAAAGAGCAGTGGCATGAGACTCACGTGTCTAAAGCCTCCAGAGAATATGGCACTGGGTGCTGGGCTGGATGGGAGTTTCTCTTGCTTCAATATAGGGTAAGTAGAGCCTTTAGGATCCTCTTGATTGAGAGGTTTCAGAATATCTGGTGCACTGACCTTCTGAAAAGCAAAAACAAAAACTGGTATTACAGTCTGCATCCCAGCTTGGTTTTGTTCAAATGTGGTGGCTTCAGCAAGCAGAGCCTGCATCTATTACTTGATGTTAATATGCAAACTTCTGAATAGGAGGACACACTCGCACTTGGTACACACATGTGCGCGTGCACACATGCGCACGCACGCACGCACACACACACACACACACACACACACACGCAGGGCCCAGAGACAGACAACATCCGGCTTTGGGACAGTCATGAACAGTGATGGGTAGATTACTCATGCGTTACTAAAAGTCTTTCATTTTAGCCTTAATAAATGGTCCTGGCATTTAATCATTTGACATACAACAATTAGCCTGATAAGCAGAGTTTTAGCCCTAACATGCTTATAAAAAGGGATAGATCAAAATATGTCTCTAAATTTTCTAAAAATATTTTGTGAGTAGTTGACACTTCTTTTTAACTTATTTATTGAGACACGGTCTTGCTCTGTCACCCAGGCTGGAGGCTGGAGTGCAGTGACACAATCTTGGCTCACTGCAGCTTCTGTCTCCCAGGCTCACACATTTCTCCCGCCTCAGCCTCCCAGGTAGCTGGAACTATAGGCACCTGCCACCAGCTGGCTAATTTTTATATTTTTAGTAGAGATGGAGTTTCACCATGTTGGCCAGGCTGGCCTCAAACTCCTGACCTCAAGTGATCCACCTGCCTCGGCCTCCCAAAGTGAGGAGGGCCACTGCTCACAGCCAAGTTGATACTTCTACGATGTATACAGCTGTGTCTTCCAGTACGGCAGTCACTAGCCACACATGACTAAACTTAAATTAACTGAAATCAAACAAAATTAACTCAGCTTCTCAGCTGCCCTAGACACGTCAAAGTCTCAGTGGCCACACGCAGCCATGGTCATTGCTTGAACAGCTCACATAAAGCTCACTCCCATCCCTGCAGAAAAGGTCCATTGGACAGTGCTCAGAGAGAGCAAAAAACACAACAGGCAAGGTGGGAAAACCTCCTAATGGCTGAAAACACAAAGTTCCCAAGCAGAGCTCAGAAATACAATCGTTGCCCCGTAGTCATAATTTTCAGGAATAAAATACTAAGTGAGAATATGACAGAACAAATGAAAGAAAAGATCACCTCCGAATTATTTACGCTCTCCATCCCCAGAATGCCAACTTCATTCCTATAGACATTTATTTGTTAAGCAACACTATATTCACTCCACCACGCTAAATTCTGGAGGCTGGAAGAGTAGAAGTGGAGGAAGAGAGGAGAAAGAGGAGAAGACACGAGGTCCATCCTCCGAGGGCTCGGTAGCTCGCAGGCAGACAGACACACCATTCAAACAGAAGCACCAGCCAGGTCAGTGCGAAAGAGGCAAGGGAGCGTTTCTTCAGCACGCGAGCATCTGGGGCCAGCTTGAGTGGGGCTGCGATCCTCTGAGAGGATGCTGAGGCTGGCTGGGGTGAGCCGGGGAGGGGAGGCCTCCCACGTGGAACAGCTGGTGACGGTTAAACAGAAAGCACGTCCTAGACCTGCAGACACGTGGACACAGACCACGAGCACACAGGGGATGAGGAGTGAGGTTGTCGGAGGGAGCACTAAAGGTGTGAGGGAAGTGTCAATCAAAGCCACAGCGAAGGACCCAGAGGCTGGAAGAGCTAGCAGATCCGCTTAGAGGGGTTCAAGAATGAAGGTGTGACAAACAGAGGAAAACAGAGAAAAGCTTACCTGCAGCTGAAGAAAGGCACATTTTACATGACTGCCCATTCAATGGGCAAATGCTAAAAATTATGAAGTTGAGTTTTACAAGATGAAAAGAGTCCAGGAGATGGATGCGGGTGATGGGTGCCCAACATTAGGAAGGTTTCGATGGCCTGAACTAAGCACTTAAAATGGCATAGATGGTAAGTTTTGTGTTATGTAAAGTTTTGAGGAAAAAAACGTACAAAGTTAAGCGTTGGCAAGAGTGATGCCCTGCCAGTGCTCATGTGAACTGAGTCAGCCTCAATGGAGGACAACTTGTCAACATGAACTAAAAGCCCTTAAAGTAGCAGTTAAAAAGGAATAGCTGGCCGGGCACAATGGCTCGCACCTGCAATCCCAGCACTTTGGGAGGCCAAGGCGGGCAGATCACCTGAGGTCAGGAATTCAAGACCAGCCTGGCCATTATGGTGAAACCCTGTCTCTACTAAAAATACAAAAATTAGCCAGGTGTGGTGGCGTGCACCTGTAGTCCCAGCTACTCAGGAGGCTGAGGCAGGAGAATCACTGGACCCAGAAGGCGCAGGTTGCAGTGAGCCAAGATCATACCACTGCACTCCAGCCTGGGCGACAGAGAGAGATTCCATCTCAAAAAAAAAAAAGGAAAAAGAAAGAAAATCTTCTTCCTCAGTTCCCCTCCCGAGAGGTCACCCTCCTGATGGTTTTTAGGCATCCTTCCTGTTCAACAGGGGCATGCTTTTATGGCCAATATAGGTCAATACATTCATAACACAAACAGTAAAATCCCAGTGGAATGCACAGGAAAGGACAGGTAAGAATTCATGTCTTGAGGAATCCTGGCCCAGATGCTTAAGTGAGCACTTTTGAAGGGGTGTTTTCAGAGCATGTGGTTCAAACTTAACAGTCAGAGAAGTGGTGTGGAAAATATCCTGAGCTGTTTTCTCGGTTTACACCCCCAAGTCACCGTGTGGTTTAAAGGAGGGAGGATCACTTGAGCCTAGGAGTTCGAGACTAGTCTGGGCAACATGGTGAAACCTCATCTCTAGAAAAAAATACAAAAATTAGCTGGGTGGAGTGGTATACTCCAGTAGTCCCAGCTACTTGGGGGTGCTGAGGTGGGAGGATCACTTGAGCCCAGGAGGTCGAGGCTGCAACGAGCCATGTTCACGCCACTACACTCCAGCCTGGGTGACAAAGTGAGACCCTGTCTCCAAGTAAAAAACAAGGAAAGCTATCTACTAATTCTGTGCCTCAATGTAGCTATTTGCAAGGTGGGCACCAGCATCCCCTACTTCCAAAGCACGGGCACCATGCTGTGTAATTAGCGCTGCCAAGATGCTCCAACACACTCTGATGAAAATGAGAGGAATTTTGGTGAGCTCCCCAGCAAGGGCATGTGAACTGCAGTCTGACGAATGTTTTGTTTAAACATGTACTCCTGGGCCGGGGCGGTGGCTCACACCTGTAATCCCAGCACTTTGGGAGGCTGAGGCAGGAGGATCAATTGAGCCCAGGAGTTTGAGACTAGCCTAGGCAACACAGCAAAGCCCGTATCTACTAAAAATCAAAAAATTAGCCAGGTATGTTGGTACATGCCTGTAATCCTATCCACCCAGGAGCCTGAGGCACGAAAATCACCTGAACCGGGGAGGCAGAGGTTGCAGTGAGCTGAGATTGTGCCACTGCATTCCAGCCTGGGCAACAGAGTGAGACTCTGTCTCAAAAATAAAGATATACTCCTTCTATTTCAACCCAATAGTTATTTAGCATTTATAGATCACACTATGATGGCTGACTACTTTATAAACATTTAGCTAAATTGTCCCTTAAAACAGCCATATCTGCCTGGGTGTGGTGGCTCACACCTGTAATCCCAGCACTTTGGGAGGCCTAAGGGAGAGGACTACTTGAGCCCAGCAGTTTGACACCAGCCTGGGCAACATAGTGAGACCTCATCTTTACTAAAAATAAAAATAAAATAAATCAGCCAGGCATGGTGCCATGTCCCTGCGGTCTCAGCTACGTGGAAGGCTGAGGTGGAAGGACCGAGTGAGCCTGGGAGATCAAGGCTACCGTGACCCATGATAGCACCGCTGCACTCCAGCCTGGGAAACAGAACAAGACTCAGTCTCAAAACGAAACAAAGAAACAAACCAACCCAGCCACATCCTCACTTAAGGTGGGAGAGAGAAGTCCTGCAGAAAGCTGTAAGCGTGTCCTGCCAAGAGCGTAGCTGAGAGGTGGACACAGGCGTACGACAGCCACTGGATGGGCTGCTTCCCCACCGCCTCCTCCGCACCCACCACTTCTGTTCCTGAGCTCCCTTAGCCCGTCAGACAACCCTGGTCAGACTCAGCCATGTGCCCGGCAGGCTCTGGGCCATGTGCACGTGCAGCAAGGGAGGGGCCGTGCCAAGGACCCGCAGGCCATCCTCAGGCAGAACGCCACAAGCCCGGGCTGCGGTATGTGGGATGCGCCACCACACAGCACATCGCAGTGCAAATAAGAAATGCGTCCCAGCTCTGGGACGTGGGCAGGGTATGGTTGGTTTCTGGAGCAGGCTCCACCCAGCTATTGGTCATCTCTTTGCCCCAGTGTCCCATCTTTAATGGGGACAAGAACAGTGCAAGCCTCACAAGGCTGTCTTAAGGATGACAAAGGCTAAATATAAAGACCTCTACAGGGTATTACGCCAAGAACAATGCCAGGCACCTGGTTAGGCCGAAGTCTGTGTCAGCCTCTGAGTGGTTTCCTGTGACTCAGGCGAGTAAGAGAATTACTCATACTCCCACAATCCCCTTCCTGAACGCTCTTTTTCGCAGTCCTCATCTGTCCTTCTTAGAGTTTAGAAGTCAGAGTCGAATCCCGGGTCTGTTCCTAGCTCTTTCATTCATTATGTGACATTAGACACGTTGGTTAACTTCTCACTAAAACTTTTTTTTTTTTTTAAATGGACCTTCATTCTTGTCACCCGGGCTAGAGTGCAGTGGCACGATCTCGGCTTTCTGCAGCCTCCACCTCCTGGGCTCAAACAATTCTCCTGCCTCAGCCTCCCAAGTAGCTGGGATTACAGGAGCCTGTCATCACACCCAGCTAATTTTTGTATTTTGAGTAAAGACAGGGTTTTGCCATGTTGGCCAGGCAGGTGTCGAACTCCCTACCTCAAGTAATCCACTTACCTCAACCTCTCAAAGTGCCGGGATTACAGGCATGAGCCTCAATGCCTGGCCAGTTTTTAAATTTTGAGAGAGTTTTGCTCTGTCGCCAGGTGCCAGGCTGGAGTGCAGTGGCACGATCTCGGCTCAATGCAACCCCCGCCTCCCAGGTTCAAGCAATTCTCCTGCCTCAGCCTCCCAAGTAGCTGGGATTACAGGTGTGTACCACCATGCCCAGCTAATTTTTGTATTTTTAGTAGAAATGGGGATTCACCATGTTGGCCAGGATGGTCTCGATCTCTTGACCTCGTGATCCGCCCATCTCAGCCTCCCAAAGTGCTGGGATTATAGGCGTGAGCCACTTCGCCTGGCATTTTTAATTTATTATTTGAGACAGGGTTTCATTGTGTCACCCAGGCTGGAGTGTAGTGTTGAAATCATGACTCACTGTAGCCTTGACTTCCCGGGCTCAAGTGATCCTCCCACTCAGTCTCTCAAGTAGCTAGGATTATAGGCTTGCATCACCATACCTGGCCAATATTCGTATTTTTGTAGAGACAGGGTTTCCCCATATTGCCCAGGCTGGTCTCGAACTCCTTGGCTTAGGGAATCTGCCTAACTCAGCTTCCCAAAGTGCTGGGATTACAGGCATAAGCTACCCCGCTCGGCCGATCTTTACCATGGGAGGAACAGTATCTATCTTGGTATTTTTGTAAGAGTTAAATGTGATAAAGTAAGAAAAAAACGCTGTCACCATGTGTGGCACACAGAGCTTCAGAAGTGGCTGCTCACTTTCCCTTCTGCCTGTTTCACCAGGAGAAGGAGTGATCCCTACAGGGAGTTCGGATGGCACTTCTGTAAACCCCAGGAAGCTGGCATGAGCTGACACTTGTTTGTGTTTTAGAATTTCAAACACATGCCAAATACATTTCAAACCATCTAGACACCTCACTCCTAAAGTGTGGTCTGCGAACCTCACAGCATAGACTTCGCCAGATCCCAGGAGCTCACCAAAAATGCATCTGAGGTTCCTCTTCTCATGCCCAATCTGCAGCTACTGGTTTGGAATCTGCATTTTAAGAGCCCCAGTGGGGCCATACGCAGTGGCTCACACCTGTAATCCCACCACTTTGGGAGGCTGAGGCGGGTGGATCACCTGAGGTTGGGAGTTCAAGATCAGCCTGACCAACATGGAGAAACCCCGTTTCTAATACAAAAATTAGCTCGGCACCTATAATCCCAAATACTCGGGAGGCTGAGGCAAGAGAATCACTTGAACCCAGGAGGCAGAGGTTGCAGTGAGCTGAGATCGCACCACTGCACTCCTGCCCCAGTGACTCCTACACTCATAAGAGCTGGGAATCACTGCCTCAGAGTTCAGTCCACTTTCGGCTATACAACCTTGGGCATGTGACTGAATATCTCTAAGCCTCCATTTCTTTACATGTAAAATGACGCTGCATGCAATACCTACCTGAGAGGGTGGTTATAAAGATAAAATGAAATAGTCTAGTTAAGCTTTTAGTACAGAGTCCAGCACATCATAGTAAATGCTGGCAATTTAGATAAAATATATAGATAGCAAATCAGATACATTATCTCATGACATGTTCGCAAAATCCCAGTGCTGTGGACAGAACAGGTGTTAATGATCATCTTCATTTTACAGAGGGGACACTGGGCTCCAGTGGGAAGCAGGACGTGAACTCTCAAGATGGTGCGTGCAAGTTCCAGCAGGAGAGGGGGGCTGACCTCACACCCTCGCCCAAAGGACAGTCTGTCGGGGGCAGCTTGAGCGGAGTCCACAGCAGCAGAGAAGGGACACCGGTTCTGTCCAGCCAACCAGGGCAGTCACATCAACTCTGCAAGGCACAGTGGGTGGCACCTGGCCAGCCAAGGCACCTCAGCTGACCGAGAATGCAGCCTTTCCCATTCTAAGGTTGGCTTTCTCTCATACCCGAAGCATTTGCTCCAGGCTGGGTTAATCCCGGTGGAAAGGTGGGATAGTTATTTCCCTAGAACCTTTATTAGAGGAGCTCTCATTTGTGGTGTGGACAGCGTGGGAAGAGCGCCCTGCAGGCTTGCTCATATCTTTATGTTTTTAGTGGTTTCCATCAGAGGCCAGGACAGATTTCAGCCAAAGGCTGCGGGTCTGCAGACTCCAGTGCTAACTTGGCAGGTGTGGGCCCAGCAGGAAGCCCCTGGGCTTTGGTATGGCCTTGAAGCCGGCAGGGAGCTCTGTGGACACAGAGGAGCCTCAAGGGCTTACGATTAGGTGGAAGCCTTTTCCTGTCTGAATAGTTTTCCAGACTGACCTTGAATCCTGACCTGCCTTGGGCTAGACCTGCCCACATAGCGGTGCTGACTGATAATTACGTTTTTCTAAACAAAACATAAATCTACAGAGAAGGCAAGCTAGAAAGTCCTGTGAGACAACAGGAAGGTGATCGGCAGGGAGGCCTTGCGGGGCTCAGGGTACCCTGGTGGTGACGTTGACCGCCGTGTCAGACTGGCTCCGTCTCTCTGTCTGGCCCGAACACTGCCTGGGGCCCGTGGTAAGAAGATGCTTCTCAGAAGTCATGTCATTCTGGGACTTGGAGAGCTCTAAAAAAGCAAACACAAGGGTTGACGGGTGGGAGCACACAGCTTTGCTGACTTGTGGGAGCCTCTTCTGGGGCTCCCTGACCCCACAGATAGTGGGTCTCAAGGTCCCAAGAGGGCAAAGCATGGAGGAACAAGGGCGACACATCCCCCACCAAGTGCAGAGGCACTGGGGGCAGGGGGTGGCAGACACTGAGTGCCGGACCAGGGCAGGAGAGGGCTGGCTTCCTTCCAGGTCCCACTGAGGTCACCCAGGCCACGGTCAGGGTGAGAGTTGAAGGGAAACCTTCCACCCAAGCTCCTCTGCATTCCGAGTCACGTACATGAGTGCACACTCGTCCAAACATGAAGACAGCTGCCTACCACACAAGCCGGCTTTCCAGGAGTTCCTTACAAAGATATTACAATTAACACCATGTGACTCTTTGAAGAGAGGTAAAAATAAGATTTGGGGTGTCCTCATAACAATGACAGTAAGCAAACCCTGAAAAGATGGCTCTAAAAAAATGTGTTTCATTTTTACAGTATAACAGTGGCCTAGAATAAAGATGAATAACGTTGGAAGGAAGGACGCCCCAGACAGAAGTGAGAGAACCGCCTTCAAGATGGTTTCATTTTCCCTTGAGAACCCCGTTCCTCCAAACGTGAACTTTACAACTGTCTCTAGAGCGGTGCTGCCAGTAGACAAACAATGCAAGCCACGTATGTCATTTAAAATATTATAGTGGCCACATAAAAAAAGTAAAAAGAAACAGGTAACATTAAGTCTATTTCATTTGTTTTTGAGATGAAGTCTTGCTCTGTCACCCAGGAGTGCAATGATATGATCTCTGCTCACCGTAACCTCCGCCTCTTGCGTTCAAGCGATTCTCCTGCCTCAGCCTCCCAAGTAGCTGGGATTACAGGCGCCTGCCACCACACCCAGCTATTTTTTGTATTTTTAGTAGACACAGGGTTTCACCATGTTGGCCAGGCTCGTCTCGAACTCCTGAGCTCAAGTGATCCACCCACCTCGGCCTCCCAAAGTGCTAGGATTACAGGCATGAGCCACCATGCACAGCCAAATTAATTTTAATTCTGTATTTAGTTTAACGCAATATATCCAAAATATTATTAAAACATGGCATCGATTTTAAAGTTATCCATGAAATATTTTACCTTTGTTTTATTCCAAGCCTCTGAAACCCACTGTGTTTCAATTTGGTAGTGCATCTTGCAGCCATATTTCAGGGGCTCAAGAGTGACCCGTGCTTAGAGGCCACTGCAATGGACAGCAAGGCTCTCAACCCCTCTGGCTGCCCTCAGATCCACTCCTTGGGATGCTATATTGCATCAGTCCTCTGTCCTCTCGCTGCTTATTAGTTCTCTCCCGCCTGCACTGCCCAGGAGTGAGTCTTGTGGTGTCTCTTTCCTCTAGAGAGGGAAATTCAACACAGGCACCCCGAAACTGCTGGGGTGTCCAGCTTTTCCACCAGGATGCCTCCTAGACTTCCCTGAGAGCAATGCCATCTCCACATCTTCAAGGCGACCATCCAGAAACACCGGGGTGTCTTTTTAAGGCCGCAGCTCCCAAGGCACTGGCACGCATCAGGTCCTCAAAGTGGACAAAGTAAAAGATGTGCTCAGATGGCCATGCCCAGCCTGGACTGCGAGGCTGTGAGGGGCTCTGATTTCTAAGCCCTAAGGAGGAACTGGTCCCCCAGCAATCTCTTAGTGCCCACCCCAAAGCCTGGGCCTATTTGGGCCATTTAAGGGTCAGAGGCAAGGGGAGAGGATGAGCCTTCCTGAGAATTTGGGCTCTAAGAAATAGGCTTACAGGTCAGTATTAATGGGGGACAAAGCATAAGGAAGAGAAAGAAATGCAGGTTGCTCCTGAGCAAGACCAGTTTTTTCATTTCTTCTTCCTCCTTCTAAGGGGGACTGCAATGCTATCTTCTAGAAATGTACTGATCATAGACAGGGTTCAATCACTCATTTCCTCCTGCTGGTTTGACTTCACTGGGCAGCATCAGCAGCCAGAGGTCATAATTCCAGGTCAGCTTTCAATACCCCTCATGGACAAGGCCTCTCTTCAGCGCCTGGCCCAGCGCAAAGTTGGGGCTCTCCCCAGCCTCTCCCCGCAGACCTCAAGTGCCTATCTGACTTCCTCCCTTACGAATGAAGCTCCCCTTGGCACCCACTTCCATAGGGAAACAGGTAGCCAAAAAGATCACTGGGCATGAGAAGAAGAGCTCAAAACCCAAAGAAATGGGAGTCAGTGCCTACAGGATGCCACACGTCCTGTGGCAGAGATGGGAGGAGGGCGTATGTGGTCACGTGTCCTGTCCATATACAACTAGGGGAAGCATTCGGGAAAGGCCAGAGGCCAAGCGTCACTCCCAGGAGCCAGAAAGCTGGGGTTTTCTCTCTCTGCCTGTGGGCCGAGGGTGTGTGTGTGTGTGTGTGTGTGTGTCTGCACACACACACATACACACCCAGGTTATGAGGTTTCAGTCACTTCCCATATCTGAGAAGGGATGCTTGCTGCTTTGCTCTTGTGAATTCTCCCACACCCTACCCAGGGACTAGCTCTAGCTGTCCACCTGGGTATCACACTGCTTAGCCTTAAGCGTGTGAGCGGGTGCACAGGCCAGGCCATCGGGTGGCTGTTGGACAGCTGTGAGCATATCCAGTGCACCTGTGTGTAGGGCTGGGGTGTCCAGGAAGGCGCCTGTGTGCTGACGTGTGTGTCCCACTTCTCTGGATTTCGGTGGCTGAGGGATGACAGGGTTGGGGCTAACTCCAAGGCACTGATCCTACAGTGGCAGTGGTGGGAGACGATCCACAGAAGCCACATAGACTTGCAGAAGGGCTGTGCATCTAGAAAGACATACAGAAAAGGGTGGACTAGCGTCTCCTAGGTATGGGTCAGGAAAATAGCACCCGCAAGAGAACAGCAGCCAGGACAGCTGGAAAGTCCATTCCAGGCCGAAGGGCACAGAGCGGGGTACTGTCAGACAGCCTGGCAGGCTGGGAGCAGTGATTTTGAAGCCACCAAGTGCTCTTGGCAAACAGACCCATAAAATTCAGTTGCTTCCTCCCTCTGAACACGAAAGGAACGGATCGTTGCAGAGACAGTCACTGTTTCTGCTCACCTGAAGGGCAGCGCTTTGATGTCCATTGTCATCATGTGACAACTGAGACAGGGCTCATGAGGAATTCAGACAACTAATTAAAGTCATATAAAGAGACTGCCTCAGAGCCGAGAGCAGCACTGAGCCCATCTGCATGCAGCTGCAGAAAAGCGGATGATGAAGAGAAGCTGAGCAGAAACACACTGAAAGAGAAATCTGTGCCTAAGGACCCTTGAGCCCACTAAGGACATTTTCTAAACACCTGACCGGCCCTGGGCATCTTAGGAGGCATGAGAAAGGGCCTGTTCTCTGGGACTTGCATTTTAAGATAAGCAGAGAAAAAAGTATCTGAGCAAAAAGAACACTGAAAGACACAAGATTCCAAGTGGAAGTGGTTCTGGGTTACATGCATCTGCAGATCACAGGATTACTGCTAACCAAAGAAAACACAGTTACCCAGGAGCAAAGGAGAAAGGCGCAGTAATTCCATACAGATGATAGATATTGGGCCCCCACGGCCTGAAAGGTTCTGGTTTTAGATTCCCTGAAATTGTACCTTTTTTTTTTTTTTTTTTTTTTTTTGAGACAGAGTCTTGCTCTGTCGCCCAGGCTGGAGTGCAGTGGTATGATCTTGGCTCACTGCAACCTCCACCTCCTGGGTTCAAGTGATTATTCTCCTGCCTCAGTCTTCACAGTATCTGAGATTACAGGCACCCGCCATCACGCCAGGCTAATTTTTCTATTTTTAGCGGGGACGGGGTTTCACCACATTGGCCAAGCTGGTCTCAAACTCCTGATTTCAAGTGATCCACCCACCTTTTGGCCTCCCAAAGTGTTGGGATTACAGGTATGAGCCACCAAGCCTGGCCCTGAAATTGTATCTTTACGCTTTCTCTATTGGTCCTCAGGGAAGTCTGAGCTCCTTTGCCCATGATGCTGAGCTACGCAGGTTTTAGCAAGAGTAGGGGAAACTGAGCCAGACTTGTGGATTGAAATGGCATCTCCCTTCCCACAAGGAACCAGACGCCTGCTCTGTGGGGAAAGAGCCGAAGGCCTGGGTGCTGCAGCTTTCCCCAGGGTCCAGAGACAAAGTGAGTGGCCTGAGGGACAGTGCCCACCAAGGTCACCAGCCAGGCCCTGTGGGCTCGGCTGGCCTGGAGGTGGTGGGAAAACACATCACGAAGCATGCACTTACTTTTCACGTGGGTGGCAAGAGACAGAAATAAATTTTCCACGGACTTATTAAATCCTCTAAACTGACCAAGTTCCTGTAACTAAAACAGAGACAGAAGGAGAGAATGAGAGTTATGCTCGGTGACTTGTGTCTGCCTCAGCAGTACCCAGGCTGCCAACCCCAAAACACTGGCCTGTGGGTGTGTGGGCGTGGTGCTTGGGGTACAGGCGGGTGTGGCGTGTGCATGCAGGCCTGGAGGGGGACAGCAGTCTTCCCCAGGGCTTGGCATCCTGTTTACTCAGCGTCTCTCCTGCTTTTGACATTCACATTGAAGGAGCATCATCAATGGGTTGTTGACAAGATATCGAGTATCCCTTGGAAATGATGCCTGGTATTTCACTGGCTCAAAGACTTACTCAAGGAATTACTTCTTGTTTACCCTCTTTTCTCCTACGCCCCCCCCACCCCCGCCCAACTCTCTGCAGAAGGGATGTCAACAAAGGTGGAATGCGAGTGGCACAGGACAGGACAATGGCAAAAGCTACAAGGTGACCAGCCAAGAGCTGACGGGCTCCATTTCCCAAAGCAGAAGAGAAGAAATAGGAGATCAAACAACAGAAAGGAGATCGCTTCCCTCTCTGGGTCCCATCCATTCATCCATCCATCCACCCATCTAGCCACCAAACATCCATCCACCTTACCATCCATCTAATCATTCATCTGTCCAATAAATACATCTTGAGCATGTAGGTACTGGAACAACTCTGGAGAATTTACAATTTCAAGGAAAAAGCAGAGCAGGATTTTGAAGGTCACCCCAGAGTCTCAGTTGAAAATGGAAAAAAAAGTATGTGATTCTTCTCCCTTATTAGCATTATATATTTTGGGGTTTGGATCATAATCTCAAAGACACGGTCTCAAATGCCATCACCACAAATGTTGAAAGATCAACACAAAATCCCTAAAGATCAAAATCCCTAAACTCTAAATCCCTAAAGATTAAAATCCCTGAAGTCTAAATTCCTAACATCAAAAACCCCCAAAATCACAATTACAGGATAGTTGCATCATATTAGGGGGACCTCTTACCTTGTTACATCTTTATTAAATTAAGTATGACTTAAGAAGACCCTATGAGTACTAGGTTGACAAGAGGTGGACTTGTGGACTTAATTAATGACACCTTAATTTTAGGCATCCATTTGACTGCATTCAGGAATATTTAGAAACCTGGTAAGGCATTATTCTGGGTGTGTCTGTGAGGGTGTTGCCAGAGGAGATTAGTGTGAGTCTGAGATGATTAGGTTAGAAAGATCTGCTCTCAATATCGACAGGCACCATCCACTCAACCAGGGGCCCAAGGAGAACAAATACAGAAAGTGAATTGGTTTCTGAGAGCTGGAACAGACTTTTCTTCTGCTGCCTTGGACATCAGAACTCCAGGTTGACTGGCCATTGGACTCCACGACTTAGACCAGAGGCTCCCTGGGTCCTGAGTCTTTGCACTGGGAATTATATTATCAGAGGTGTGTGAACCACAACAACTCCATCTTGAATAGGGGCTAGATAAAATGAGGCTGAGACCTACCGGGCTGCACTCCCAGGTGATTACGGTATTCTAAGTCACAGGATTAGACACGAGGTCAGCACAAGATACACGTCATAAAGACCTTGCTGATAAAACAGGTTGCAGTAAAGAAGCCAGCTAAAACCCACCAAAGACAACCTGGTGACCAGAGTTCACTCTGGTCATCCTCACTGCTACACTCCCACCAGCGCCATGACAGTTTACAAGTGCCATGGCAACGTCAGGAAGTTACCCTATATAATCTAAAAAGAGGAGGCATGAATAATCCACCCCCTGTTTAGTATATCATTGAGAAATAACCATAAAAATGGGCAACCAGCAGCCCTCAGGGCTGTTTTGTCTATGGAGCAGCCATTCTTTTTTTTTTTTTTTTTTTTTTTTGAGATGGAGTCTTGCTCTGTAGCCCAGGCTGGAGTGCAGTGGTGCAATCTCAGCTCACTGCAACCTCCAACTCCAGGGTCCCAGTTCAAGCAATTCTTCTACCTCAGCCTCTCAAGAACTGGAATTACAGGCACAAGCCACCATGCCCAGATAATTTTTGTATTTTTTAGTAGAGACAGCATTTCACCATGTTGGCCAGTCTGGTCTTGAACTCCCTGACTTTGTGATCCACCCACCTCAGCCTCCCAAAGTGCTGGGATTACAGGCGTGAGCCACCACGCCCAGCCAGAGTAGCCATTCTTTATTCCTTTATTTCCTGATAAACTTGCTTTCACTTTACTTTATGGACTTGCCCTGAATTCTTTCTTCCACAAGATCCAAGAACCATCTCTGGAGGTTTGAATCAGGACCTCTTTTCTATAACAACACCATCGGCTTTCCTGGTGTTGAGGCCTGACTTGGGCTGAGACATGCTACTGGTATCCCAGGGTCTCCAGTTTGCAGATGGCTTGTGGAGAGACTTCTCAGCCACCACAATCACGTGAGCCAATTCCCCTAATAAGACCCCTCTCATGTATCTATATACATATCCTGTTGGCTCTGTCTCCCTGCAGAACTACAGATTCGGTATTGAGGAAGCCAAATATCATTCTTCCTTACCGTATTCCTTACAACACAACAGAAGAGATCTGTGAAACTGTTCCTTCACAAAAAAGGCTGCGATATGTGTATATTATTTAATAATGAATGATAAAAGTTTTAAAAAGCTAATTGTATTGGTATCACAAAGGCAGGAAATAGCTTAATTATAACAACTGAGCAATAACCAGCCTTTCAAATGGACAGCATGTGCTTACAAAACGCATAGACCACAACCTCTCTCCAAATACAAGGCAGCAAGTGTTTCACAGATCCTAGAAGTAAAACACAGGCCAAAAAAAAAAAAAAAAAAAAAACAAGAAATCTCCACGGGCAAACTATTTAGTTCTGTGTGAATTCTCCCCTTTCATACATAGCACAGTTCGCTATGCTACGTATTTCTTTTTTTTTTTTTTTTGAGACAGAGTCTCACTTCATCACCAGGCACCAGGCTGGAGGGCAGTGGCACGATCTCGGCTCACTGCAACCTCCACTTCCCAGGTTCAAGCAATTCTCCTACCTCAGCCTCCCGAGTAGCTGGGACTACAGGCGTGCGCCACCACGCCCAGCTAATTTTTGTATTTTTAGTAAAGACGGGGTTTCACCATGTTGGCCAGGATGGTCTCGATCTCTTGACCTCGTGATCCGCCTGCCTCGGCCTCCCAAACTGCTGAGCTTACAGGCATGAGCCACCGCACCCGGCCTATGCTATGTATTTCATCTGCATCATTTCCCATGCTGGAGGTAAAAACTGCATAGAGACTTTTAGAGTTTTGTGTTATGCATTTTTTTCTGCAAATTGACTCCATGGAAGTACGTCATCACAACATGACTTTGACGTGTAAGTAAAAATGTTGCTATTTCCTAAGTGAAGAGACCTCCTTTTTGTGCATCTGTATTTGCAAAAGACACAATTTCTTGAAATCTCAGCCATTTGGGTGACTGCGTATGCAATGGCGACCCACAGCGGCTTTTGATCCATCTCGTCAAATGACTGTTTGAAAAGTACCTTTGTTCATAACAGTATTTTAGTTACAAAGCTGGATCCACACAGTACCAGCCATCGTAATATGTGTTTCTACATTTCCCTTTCTGATGTATTTCTTTATAAACATGGGTCATCTGCTCCTGTTATACCCATGGGACTGGCGTTAGTACAGCTGAGAGTTCATGCTTATAAAATTATGCATGCTGTTCCAGTCTATTTATTATGTAAAGCGGCCAATGAAGTGTTCCATCATGGTTTTAGGTTTTAGTTTGTTTGATTAGAGACAGTCTCGCTCTGTCGCCCAGGCTGGAATGCTGTGGCGCAATTACGGCTCACTGTAGCCCTGGCCTCCTGGGCTCAAGGGATCCTCCTCCCTCAGCCTGCTAAGTAGCTGAGTCTACAGGCATGTGCTGCCATGCCCAGCTAATTTTGTTATTTTTTGGAGAGATAGGGTCTCACTATGTTGCCCAGGCTGTTATCACATTTTTATATGTTTCTCAAATCCCGTTTAAATTTTTAAAATAAATTTCTTCAAAATAATTTTTTAGATTTTCTAGGATTATATTTTTAGGATTTTGGTTTTTCAGGATCCAGCATTCAGGATGATGGCACTCATCATCTGGGAAGTATGATCAGCTCCCATATTCTCCCATATATACTTCTGGGAGTATGATCAGCTCCCATATTCTCCCATATATAACTTCTGAGAATATGATCAGTTCCCATATTCTCCCATATATAACTGCTCTCTTTGATTTACGGAATAATAATGAAGATAACAAAGACCATGTACTTCCATGGCACTTTATGGTTCTCCAAGTACCAGCATAGACATTATTTTGTTAATTTCTCACAACAGCTATGGGACGACAAATATAGATGCTTTTTCTGACTTACGATGTTTTGACCTACAATTTTCTGACTTGATGATGGTGTGAAAGCAATACATATTCAGTAGAAACCGTACTTTGCATTTTGATCTTTTCATTTTGTGTAATATTTTAATTTTTATTATAAAATAGGCTTTGCATTAAATGATTCTGCCCAACTGTAGGCTAACGCAAGTGATTGGAGCACATTTAAGGCAGCTAGGCTAAGCTACGATATTTGGTAAGTTAGGCGTATTAAATACAATTTTTTTTTTTTTTAAGATGGAGTCTTGTTCTGTTGCCCAGGCTGGAGTGCAGTGGCACTTGGCTCACTGCAACCTCCACCTCCGAGGCTCAATTAATTCTCCTGCCTCAGCCTCCCGAGTAGCTGGGACTATAGGTACCCAGCACCACGCTCAGCTAATTTTTGTATTTTTAGGGTTTCACCATGTTGGCCTGGCTGGTCTCAAACTCCTAGCCTCAAAGTGCTGGGATTACAGGAATGAGCCACCACGCCTGGCTAAACATATTTTTGACTTATAATATTTTCAACTTAATAGGGGAATATTGGGACATAACCCTATCATAAGTCAAGCAGCAGCTGTATAATTACTTCCACCTCTCAGAGGGGAAATCCAGGTAACTGCCCCAAGATCACACAGATAATTTCTTTGGACAGAAATGGTGCTGGTCCGCTGTACATTAGAGCCTGCAAACACGCAAAAGAGACACTCCCACTCTCACACACCCATAACCAACCTTATTTCCCCTTAGAGCCCAGAGACGCTACGCACACACCCAGCACAGAGCAGAGTTGGGGAAGAGGGCCCATGCCATGCCAAGAGTAAAGAGACCTTAGGTGCAGGCAGAAGGGGTCACTGACGATGCAGATGGTCCCGCCACCAGATGGAGAGAAGCTCTGACCATCCTCGAGGCCCTCACTCCCTGCCCCGCTTTGTGGCCCGCTCCAGGCACAGTCAAATCCCTTTGCTGGGAGGCTCTGTGCCCAGCCTCAGCCTCGAAAGCTCCCCTGCCTCCTCTCCTTGCCCCTTCCCCGTGCTAGAGAAGTGCCCAAAATGGATGCATTACCCTGCCAGGACTGCAGCTGCACTGGCTCTCACTCAGAGGAGGCGGAGTAGGAGGAACCACAGAAATTTTGCTGCAAAGGAAAATACAGGAATAAGAAACGGGTTGTGAACTATGCAAGTCATTCGTTTTACAAATACACAAAATGTGTCACTATTCTGTAATTCGAGTTCTCCACCTGTTTTTTTTTGTTTGTTTGTTTGTTTGTTTGTTTCTTTTTTGAGATGGAGTCCTGTTCTTTGCCCAGGCTGGAGTACAATGGTATGATCTCAGCTCACTGCAACCTCTGCCTCCTAGGTTCAAACGATTCTCCTTCCTCAGCCTCCCAAGTAGCTGGGATTACAGGAGCCCACCACAACGCCCAGCTAATTTTTGTATTTTTAGTAGATGGGGTTTCACCATGTTAGCCAGGCTGGTCTCAAACTCCTGATCTCCAGGGATCCCAACGTCCTGGGATTACAGGCATGAGCTACCACATCCGACCTCCGCCTTCTTTTTTAACTGCCTCACTTTTTGGAAAAATAGCCAGCAGCCCTGCTTGGACCTGCTGCTCTTTGCAGGGCATGACTTCTTGGTATCTATATGAGGGTGACGCTGCCTAAAACCTGGGTACTCCGCTCTGCTCAGTCATATGTTCTGAAATGCCCTAGGTGCTTGGGCCTGGACCTGCCACCTGGCTGTGGGGAAACTCCTGACTCCCACCTGCGTTCCCGTGTTCTCTTAGCACAAACCAGCAGAAGCGCCACAAATGTTGGGGATGCAAAAATCAACCACGAAGGAAACTGGAAGCTTGTACTAAAAGAAATGGGAAAGATTGCTGGGAGCAGTGGCTCACTCCTGTAATCCCAGCACTTTGGGAAGCCGAAGCAGGCGGATCACTGGAGGTCAGGAATTCAAGACCAGCCTGACCGACCGGGTGAAACCCCGTCTCTACTAAAAATACAAAAATGAGCTGGCTGTGGTGGCACGTGCCTGTAATCTCAGCTACTTTGGAGGCTCAGGCAGGAGAATTGCTTGAACCTGGGAGTCAGAGGTTGCAGTGAGCTGTGACCTTGCCACTGTACTCCAGCTTGGAGACAGAGCAAGACTCCATCTAAAAAAAAAAAAAGAAAGAAAGAAAGAAATGGGAAAAAATCAGGGAGGAAAAAAATGAAAAAGTCTTGATACTGGAAAATTGCACCATGGGCCAAACAAAATAGCAGCTGGTGGGGGCTTTCAGAAATACTTTCATAAATTCAGTGTTATCGGGTGCGTGAATGATGGCCAGCTTCGTGACCGCTCGGTTTTTAGAATTTTGTGCAAAAGTTCCCATCTCTCAGGCCATCATTCAATTACATCAGTGTTTATTCCACCAATATCACTAACGTGCCAGGTGCTGGGGAAGATGTTAGAGACAGGCATGATTAAGCAAAGCAAACGCTTGCTTTAGAATTTCACTTAAGGTGCCATTAAAGATAATACTTAGTTTCGTTATAACATTTCAGGAGAATTTAAGAAACGGAGCAGAACCGCGGGGCGCGGTGGCTCACGCCTGTAATCCCAGCACTTTGGGAGGCCAAGGCGGGCAGATCACAAGGTCGGGAGTTTGAGACCAGCCTGCCCAACATGGTGAAACCCTGTCTCTACTACAAAAATTAGCCGGGCATGGTGGCATGTGCCTGTAATCCCAGCTACTCAGGAGGCTGGGGCAGGAGAATCCCTTGAACTGGGGAGGTGGAGGTTGCAGTGAGCCAAGATCGCACCACTGCACTCCAGCCTGGGTGACAGCGAAATTCTGTCTTAAAAAAAAAGACACAGAGAAGAATGTTTAGTGAGAAAATACCGTGCTTCTCATGAGAATCTGCAAAGCTTCTCATGAGAATCTGGAAACATCTCTGCTTTAATCTTTTTCAGGAACTTTATCTTTAAAAGAAAAAAAAAAAAAAAAGAGGTACATTCCAAAGCAGTGATGTGAAAGTCAAAGATCTATAAGTTCTTTCAGAGTGTCCTCTGCGCTCCTGCCCTGGAGGGCCTGGGACGGTCTGTCCCATGTAACACTCACCTCAGCTTCTGATAAGATTGCAAGAGCTGCGCTCCAGCTGTCTCCTGTTTGCCTGCAAGAGATAGCAATAGAGGTCATTTATTAGTAGGAATAGCATTCAGCTGGTTCAAATACAGGACATAATAGATTAAAATTATTTTCTCTAGTATCATTTCTTGTGATTCAAAAGTAGGAGATCGTTTTGAGGTGATAGAAATGTTCCAAAATCAGCTTGTGGCGATGGTTGCACAACTTAGTAAAGGTACTCAACATCACTGCGTTGTACACTGAAAAGATACATTTTACGTTCTGGAAATTATACTCCGCTAAAGCTGTTGTTTAAGCTTTGTGGCACACACAATATGAAGCCATCATTGTTGGGAATGACTGCTTTTATTAAAAGTTGATGTGGATTAGCTTTCCTAAATCTTCCATTCGTCCTCTGGAAACATTTCATAATAGAATGAGTCTATTCCTCTAAACTGGCCTTGTGAGGAAGATTAAATTAATCTTTTAAAAACTGTAATCTACTTATTTCTAGTTATGGAGGCTAATAATTTCCTAAATAAGACTGCATCTGATATAGTACTCCTTTTGTTGCAAGAAAAGAGGTTTTTATGATGTATTAAGATCCCAGAAATAAAATTCAGTGTGTTCCCAGTTCTGTGAACTCAGCGTTTCCTGGCCAGGTGCAGAGGAAGACGGCCGTCTTCACCCAGCAGGGGGCCGGGGAGAAGGTTTCTCCTGCTAAGGGAGGTTCCCAGGGGGCTCCATCTACCCATTACACAGACCAGACCACCAAGCCTGCCACCCTCAGAGGCGGTCCAGCTCCTGTGCCGTGCCGTGCGCTTGGGGGATTTTAGCCATTCCAAAGAAACATTTACATATAGAAATATCATTTCCATAAGACACACTGAAGGACAAGGATAGTGAGAAAGTCAGATGGGCTGGCCTTTGGGAGGGAGAAAGGCATCTGATGTTAAGCTGTCAACACCAAGCCTCAAGCCTCAAAGGAAGGAGACAGCCCCGAGGTCGGGGTCCTTAACCAGGCTGGCCGCGGGGAGCACAGGAGCCTTTGAAATCATAGCTAAAGTTTCCAGTCTACCTCCCTGCATGCATTTTCTGCGGTTCATCTGGGGTACATATGGCATTCTTGGGATGTTATAAGGTGCCTGTGACCCTTCCCTCCCCATTAAGAAATGCTTCTCTAAGACAGAATGAAAAGGTACAATGCAGCCTTGCCCGAAGTTCCAGCACTCAGCTAGTAGAACCAGCTGGTAAGAGATGAAAGCTGGCACCTGCAGGAGCTGCCCAGAGAGAACATTCAGGTCCAACCAAGAGAGACAGCCTGACTGCAGCGTGCTGGCTGTGGAAGCAAGAACAGCCACCACACTGCTCATCCTGCCTATCTCAGGGAGGGCACAGACCCCAGAGACAGCAAGCGCAGAGCAGTCCGTGGGCAGGGACATACCACAGGGTGCTCCTGTCCCTGGGTCCCCCTGCCCCATGTGGTCTTACAGCCCTTACTGTCACCCTGCCCCACATCTCCTGCTCTACATGACCTTACAGCCCTGTCACCCTGTCCTGGGTCCCTCCTACTCTATGTGACCTTATGGCCCTCACTGTCACCCTGTCCCGGTGCCCCTCAGCCCATGTGACCTTACAGCCCTCACTATCACCCTGTCCTGAGACCCCCTGCTCTATGTGACCTTACAACCCTGTCACCCTGCCCCTGGGACCTTCCTGTCCCGTGTGATCTTACAGCCCTGTCACCCTGTCCCGGGTCCCCCTTGCCCCATGTGACCTTACAGCTCTGTCACCCTGTCCTGGGTCCCCCCATGACCCATGTGACCTTACAGCTCTGTCACCCTGTCCTGGGTCCCCCCATGACCCATGTGACCTCACAGCCTTTACTGTCAGCCTGTCCCTGGTTGTTGCAACACTGTCCTGAGGCACAGCCACCAAAAAGGCACATTCCTCTTGGAGAATCCGATCCTATCTCGCTATAGCCTGGAGCCCTTCAATGACTCCCTACAGCAGGCGACCTAAAGTCCAGGCCCACGTGGCATCCAGAGTGCCCCAGCTACGGGCCCCCCCCCCTCCGCTTGCAGGCCTTGCCCTTTCACTCTAGCACACCAATTGTCCTTATTCCCCTGCTTACCCGGTGAGGCCGGCCCAGCCTGTACGATTACTGTCACCCCCACCTCGTCTCCTCGTGCTGTTATTCCCTGCGGGCAGTTCTACCTCAGGCCCACATCTCAGACCCCGCTTAGAAAACCTCCGCTTCAGCCGGGCGCGGTGGCTCACGCCTGTAATCCCAGCACTTTGGGAGGCCGAGGCGGGTGGATCACGAGGTCAAGAGATAGAGACCATCCTGGTCAACAGGGTGAAACCCCGTCTCTACTAAACATACAAAAAATTAGCTGGGCATGGTGGCACGTGCCTGTAATCCCAGCTACTCAGGAGGCTGAGGCAGGAGAATTGTCTGAACCCAGGGGGCGGAGGTTGCGGTGAGCCGAGATCGCGCCGTTGCACTCCAGCCTGGGTAACAAGAGTGAAACTCCGTCTCAAAAAGAAAAAGAAAAAGAAAAAGAAAACCTCCGCTTGGGCCAGGGTCTCCTCGGCGCCCCTGCTACCTGCTACGGCTCCTGCACCGCCCGAGCGAGCGCGTGGCTCTCTGCTGCCCCCTGCCGGCTGTGGCGACGCGGGGCACAGGCAGGGCCTTTGTCAAGGCTGGAGGGGGAACGTTGCGTTCCACTGGCCCCGGGAGGGGAGGGGCCCGTCACCGCTGCTCCATTCGTCCCTGTGACAGCAGCCACAGACAGAACTAAAGGGCAGGCGTGCCCGTTCCCATGAAATTTCATGGACACTGGAATTTGAGTGTGTCACAAAGATTATTCTTTAGATTTTGTGGGGTTTTTTTTTTTAACCATTTAAAAATGTAAAACCCAGACCGGGCATGGTGGTTCAGGCCTGTAATCCCAGCACTTTGGGAGGCCGAGGTGGACGGATCACTTGAGGTCAGGAGTTGGAGACCAGACTGGCCAACACAGTGAAACCCTGCCTATACGAAAAATACAAAAATTAGCCTAGCCAGGTGTGATGGCGCATGCTTGTAATCGCGGCTTCTCAGGAGGTTGAGGTGGGAGGATCCCTTGAACTCAAGAGGCGGAGGTTGCAGTGAGCCGAGGCTGCACCCCTGCACTCCAGCCTGGGTAACAGAGTGAGACTCCGGCTCAAAATACTAATAATAATAATGTAAAACCTACTCTTAGCTCACAGGACATAGGAAAGCAGGCAGGGGGACCTGCAGGTGTCCGTGTGTCCCCTGCCCTCACTGCCCCAGTTGTGGCCTGTGGCTGTCAGCAGGGCAGGGGTTGCTGGAGACACAGAGCCGCAATCCCAGTGGAGCAAGACCAGGCGGATTTGAGTGCTCAAGGAAGCCAGAGAAGCGCTGCCCTATGCAGCTTTTGCCAACCCGCCGCCGACTATCATTTTACTTCTCTGATTCCTCAGTTGTTTCTTCCTAGAAGCTTCCTTAAAGAGCTCCAAATCTTGACTTCTTGTTAACATGTCAGCATGTTCACACAAGGAGCTGTGAGCTGCCCACAGACAGACATCCCTCGAGAGGCAGGTTCTTTGGACCAAGGGCCTCCACCCTGCCTTGCCTGGCTGGCAAGTGGCTCTAGCAGGGATCTCCGTCTTGGCCAGGGACAGGAACAGCTGCGGGCCAGAGCCTGGGTCTGCGGCTGCCAGGACTTGTCTCGGGTGCACGGCTGGTTGGCAGCTTTGTCTGCCAGGCCCGGCGCAGAGCGCTTTGCTCACATTTGCTGCTCAGCGGCTGCCAGGTGTCATCCCAATTCCATAAATGAAAAGCGAGGCTCAGGGACATGGCGTCATGGGCCCAAAGTCACAGCGTCTACCAGTTGCAAAGCTGGACGTTGTACCACAGTTCGCCTAAAAAGTCTGCAAAAAGTCAGAAAGCGGACAAATATAACTGAGAAGGGAGGGGCTGGGAACAAGACCAGAGCGGGGATAGCCCAGGGCCGTCCAGACAGGGGGTCACTGCTCTGCTCCTGGTTGAACATTTTCCTAATACAAAGCCAGGCGCAAAACCACCACATAGAAACCAACAGCCACGCCCTGGAAAGCTCAGTAACATTTCTTAATTTTTCCATATTTCATATTTGTCACTTATATCTCACTCTGCTTAAATCTTCAGGGAGCAATGCCTGTGTGTGAGTCTCAGGACCCGAGGGAGAGCAGCCGGGTAGTGAGTGAGCAGACAGGGGCAGGTTTCACAACCACAAGAAGCATGACTTCGTTGGAGCTGTAAAACCAAATGTGTGTGAACACAAGGTCATCGGTTTTGCACAACGAATTTCATTAACTCGTTCACATTAATTAAATGCAATACACACAGGTACTTTGACAGAGATAAGAATAAGTGATGCCAGGTATGGTGGCTCATACCTGCAATCCCAGCACTTTGGGAGGCTGAGATGGGAGGACTGCTTGAGCCCAGGAGTTCAAGACAAGCCTAGGTAACATGGCAAAATCCCATCTCTCCAAAATAAAATGTGTTTATTTTTTATGTTATTCTTCTTTTTTTTTTTTTTTGAGACAGAGTCTCCCTCTGTCACCCAGGCTGGAGTGCAGTGGCCCAGTCCCAGCTCACTGCAACCTTCGCTGCCCTGATTCAAGCGATTCTCCTACCTCAGGCTCCAGAGTAGCTGGGATTACAGGTGCACAACACCTCGCTGGCTAATTTCTGTATTTTTAGTAGAAAGAGGGTTTCACCATGTCAGCCAGGCGGGTCTTGAACCCCTGACCTCAAGTGATCCACCTACCTCAGCCTCCCAAAGTGCTGGGATTACAGCCATGAGCCACCATGCCTGGCCCAAATTTTTCTAAATTAATAATAACAATAAAGGAATAAGTGAGTCACCACCTCTACCCCCAGCAGGGCCCACAGTGTTGTGAGGGTTCACACCAACTATCGATTGAGGCAGTGGGGAGTCAAGAGCCGCCACGTATTGCTCAAAAACCAGTCCCGCCCCTACAGCTGGCATG